CCCACGGTGGGCGCCAAAATGTTTGAGTCTGATTAGTACCATGTTGTTGGTAAAGCTCCCAGGCCACGCACGGATTCTGATCGGGGGCGGTTGCACCGAACACTACAAGGAAAGGTCCTCAGGGGAATCCTGGGACCTCCACCGATGCTTAAGTTGGTGAGAAAAATAGAGAGTTGTAAATAAGAGAGAGAAAGTAGTGGTTGGAAGTTACCATAAATGTTACCCATCGATGGGTATTTATACTATCTTTGGCTGAGGTGTGGGTATTTAATGACCTGGCGTCTATGGATGCCTCCGGCCCTAATAAATGCGTAGTCAGAACGTATCTTTGTTGGACGGTCTTCGGAGACCGCCTCAGGTGGGGATCCAGCTCGCATGCCAACTTGTTTGGGTCTGGTCTATTTACTTATGGTCTTTTAGTGACTATTGACTTGAGGCCCATGCATCTCAATACTTGGCCTAATGGTATGATAAAATGGATTTGATTATTATTGTTATAAATTCACTAATAAATTAGTGTATTATATATGAGTTTTATGTTATAGCGCATAAACGGTTTTATCAATAATTAACCAATCATTTTTTAATAATTAATTATTAAACTATCAACCACTTAGTTTTTCCGATTCCGCATCGAGCATTTCTACTATGCAATATAGTATTGGTGCTTTAATGTACAACTTAAAATTGTACCATAACATGAAATGTATAAGTTTAGATTGTACCATAAAAGAATTTGTACCATTATGTTATGGTACAACTTTACAACTTGAAGTTGTACCATCACATAAAGATACAAGTTCAAGTTGTACCATACAAGAATTGGAAAAAATCCCACTGTACACACGTTCTTAAAAAAATTCCCAAAATACATAAGTTATAAAAAATTTTCCCAAAGTACACATGTTTGGCAATCACCGTTTTTGACAAACGCAGTGAAGGTAATCACCGCGTTTGTCAAAGACGGTGAATATTTCACCGTCTGATACTAAAACGGTGTCGTATTCACCGCCTTTATCTAAAACGGTGATGTATTCACCGCGTTTGGAGAGGACGGTGAATACATCACCGTTTTAGTTGACAACGGTGAATACATTCACCGTTGTTGGGTAACGCAGTGATCGTTTCCCACGTTTCCCACCCCTGGTAGGTCAAAATTAGGTCACACCTACCTTTTATTCACCGTTTGAGACAAACGCGGTGATGGTGTTCACCGTGTTTGACAAAAACGGTGAATAGTAGGCAGATTTTCCTATAAATACCAACCCACCAGCAGAAGTAAAAACATTACCACTCCCCCCTTCTTCAAATTTCAGCAATACACAGAACAAACATTTTTCGGTATGTTGAGACTTTTCGTATTATAGTCTAATTATGTTTTTAGTAGTTATAGTATGATTAAATTTTCGTATTATGTTGTTGTTAGTTAGTTGAATTTATGTTCGTTAGTTATAGTATGATATAATTTTCGTATTATGTTGTTGTTAGTTAGTTGAATTTATGTTCGTTAGTTATGAGATGGATAATATTAGTTGTACAATATGATTTTGGTTAATTTTACTGTCTTTAAGCTAATAGATACTTATCCTCGATTTGTAGATATGGATAAATTCAAGAAGTTTCATCTTACTATTCGGTGGAATGGAAGGGTGACAAACTCTGACATAGGCATTGATTATGAGGACGGCGATTCCATTATGCTGAAAATTGATTCCTGATTCAATTTTCAAGAACTCTGTGATCTTTGTGCATAAAGGGTTTGTACGAGCGGACAGACGAGACTTGGCAAAATTACTTACCGGTATCCAGACATGAGTGCTGGCGGGGTCGTGTTCCAAGAAGTTGTCATAAACGATGATGACGCGGTTACGATGATGTTACAGTTCTTAAGCGATAACCAAGTCCGGCTTGCAGAGGTGTATGTTGAGACCGAGGCGGTCGGTGAATCTCATTCTCACCAGTATTCTTATGATGATGGTTTTGCAGGAGGGTACGAATGGGGTGGTAGTTCGAGCAACTACCAAGGCGGTGGTTATACAGGAGGTTACGGGGAGGGTGGTGGTTCAATCAACTACGGTGGATCGAGTAGTGCAGGATGGGACAAATACTCGCAACCTCCTCAACCAGCCGATGGTGTTGAATGGCCTGCTTGGGGGCCAGAGTGGTCTGAAATCGAGAATAACATTCGATCAGGGCGTACTTCACATGAGCGAGAGGACGATGTTGGTGATCGTGGTCATGTTGATCCTTCTAGCCCGAGCTATCCATTCGAGTCGAGCGACGTGGATACTGAGGAAGATTTGAGATCAGTGAGCGAGGAGGAGGAAGATACTGATGTTTATTTAAGTTTGGTCTGGGGACCAATGACGGCATCCCCAGAAATAGGCATCCCGGTGAGGATCGCCACGTCTTTGAGGGTGATCGTCATTTCCCCCTCCGGAAGGTGGAACGTATGGGTTTCGGGACGCCATCATTTCGCCATTGCCGTAAGCAGATCGTTGTCGATTTCGATCCGCAAGAAATGGCGCAACATTCCCAAACCTGTCCTCGCTATATAGGGCTCCAACCTTGGATGCCAAGCGGGCAAGTTATTGGTCCCTTTATGAACCACGGGAACAAGCGATTCCTAAAAAAAATAGGGAAAACAACAATTTATTAGATTAAATAAAGCAAAATAAAACCTTAGAAAATAATAAAATAAAGCAAGAATACTCAAAAAATTACCGGATTGTTATCCCAAATAGCACGGGAGCGATGAGCTTCTTGATCGGTTAAGAGACTCGCATCCCTTGGGCCATAATGGATATACAATCGAGGATCGTATATCTCGGCACCCATCTATAAAAAAGTAATGAAATCAGAGATTGTTTTGATAAAAAAAATCAGATTGTTTCGATTAAAAAAAATTCATAAACAAAAAACCTACACGAAGAGCCTCTTCGTCCATTTTTTGGCGTAGGCCGGACAGAGGTTCGACGAGTTTAGGTGTAAGGGACGGGAACTTAGCGGGACGGGGGCTTTAGGGTCAAACTCTAGTAATTCTTTCTGATGTGGAAGATCGGACTTAGCCGCAACCACAGAGCATACTTAGAACGAGACTAGAGCGGATAAATTGAGGGAGAAAGAAGTGAAATGTTTGTGGGGTGAGTTGAAAGTGAAAGGGGAAGTGGGTATTTATAGTTGGGGGAAGGGGGGAGGAGCTGCTGCGCAGTAATTAGGGGGAAGCGTTCACCGCGTTTGATGAACGCGGTGAAGGCATCGCATTCCCCAAAAACGATTCCCCCGTCCACGTGGCGTGCTGTGAGGCGTCGGATCGTGGGAAGAAAACCACGATCCGCGCCTCACCGCATCTAACGGCCACGGTGAAAGCACAATGGCGCGGATCGCTGACGTAAACAAACACGGGGTATTCACCGTGTTTGTCTACCGCGGTGAATACCCCGCGTTTGTCCACGTCAGCGCCTTCACCGTGGTCCTCTAAAACGGTGAAGTTCTCACCGTTTTATACTAAAACGGTGATAGCTTCACCGTTTCAATTTAAAACGGTGATGCATTCACCGTTTTAGACTAAGACGGTGAAATCATCACCGTTTTAGTTCAAAACGGTGAAATGTTCACTGTTTTTATTAAACGCGGTGATAATCTTCACCGCCTTTGTCAAAAACGGTGATGCTCAAACATGTGTACTTTTGGAAAAAAAATTTATAACTTATGTATTTTGGGAATTTTTTTTAAGAACGTGTGTACTTTGGGATTTTTTCCACAAGAATTTGTACAAACAGTATAGGTATAATCTAAAGTTGTACCATAAAATTAAATGTACAATTTCAAATTGTACCATAAAAGCAAAAACCTATAGCACCAATACTATATAGCATTATAAATTCCTCTTCCTCATCCTCATCCGGTGAAACATTGGTATTTGTCATTAAAAAAGAGAGAAGAAAAAAGACAAACGATGTAATGCGGAAGGGATAGAGTGAGATATCTAGAGAGTCTGAGCTGGCAAGATATAAAAGGCCCCACACCCCTCTCCCCTCTGAGATACTCGCGTCTCACAGCCGTCCCAGCTTGTGGAGGAACGCCCCGCCACGCGGCTGTCGGACCAGTCCACGCCCTTCCACGTGGCATTCACTGGCAGGCTACCTCAGATCGCGGGAAACACACACCTCTTATCATATCTTATAACCTTCCCAAAAATAATTTTTGTATTGTTTTCTCCTTTCTCTTCTGGAATTTTTTTCCTCTCTCTTTCCTGCGGTCATCTGGGTTTTCTTCTTCCCCCCCTTTCTGCTTTCTTTGTTCTAACGGCTCCCGGGACGCCATGACCGCTGTCGCCACTTTCGCAGCTCTCTCTGTCCCCATTTCTTTGTATAGATCATCAAAGTTCCACGTCAGAAAGGTACCGACTTCTAACACTGCTAGCTAGCTCTTCCTGGTATGCCTAGCTTTGTTTAGACCGGTGCAAGTTTCCGCTGCTTTTGGTTTGTTAATTTAGGAGATGAGCTCCGATCATGCTACTTCAAAGTTTGTTATGAACTCAGTTATGTGGGTTTGTGCTACGAACTCAATTATGTGTGTTGGGTCTGAATTTCTAGCTTAGTTGGGACTTGGGAGAGTTTTCCTTCTGTAATGACCATATGGGTCATGAGATAGTTTTTTAATCCAGAGGTTAGTAGAATGAACTCAAAATTTTAGTGGGATGGAGAAACTTTAAATGATTATTTTGTAAGTAGTGGGAGGAGTTGTAGAAATTTTTACCAGAGAATGCGACCATTTAAAAAGAGGAAAGGGAAAGTTGGGGCAAGCATGATTGGGCTTGTATTGTATGTTGGGTTTGGCTAGCTGGATTGAAATGAGTGTTCTAGTCTTCTAGATGTAGGTACTGAAAACTCACATTCAGATTCCAGCAATAGTTTGCTAGGGCTATTGACAGAGTCTTTAAGAAGTAGCAACATTTTTATTGGCCCAATTTGTAATGAGTGCCCATTATCTTTTGCAGAGCTGCAAAGCTAGGATTGGGGTGTTTGCAGTGTTTGGGGATGAAGGTGGGGGGTTGGTGGAAAGGAAGAGTCAATGGGGGGCGCTATTCGAAGTGGAGGATCCCAGGTCTAAGATGCCACAATGTAAAGGCAAGTTCTTCGATGCCAACCAAGAACTTGAAGTAGCTAGATACGACATTCAGTATTGTGATTGGCGAGCTCGCCAGGATCTGCTTACAATCATGCTGCTTCATGAGAAGGTTTCATTTCAGATGCTTCATCTTTTCTTCATTATATTTGCTTTCCTGCTGTAGATTCTCTTAACTTGACTCGAGCGGACAGATGTTGATTCTGGACCTTTCTTTTTGATCAGGTTGTGGAGGTTTTGAATCCCTTAGCACGCGAATATAAATCAATCGGCACCATGAAGAAGGAACTAGCTGAGTTGCAAGAAGACTTGACCCAAGCTCACAGACAGGTTGGTTTAAATTTTCTGTTTGGTTAAGAGACTATGTTTCCTTCCATGGCTTTATGATGACTGACTTGTTTTATCCTCCAGGTACATATATCTGAAGCAAGGGTATCTACTGCTTTAGATAAACTAGCCTACATGGAAGAGTTGGTAAATGACAAGCTGTTACAAGATAGAAGCACCACAGCAGAAACTGACCAAGCGTCTCCTTCTACTTCCACTGCAACTCCATCCGCCAATATTATGAAAAGAAAATCCCCCAGGAAAAGTTTCAATGTCTCAGGTCCTGTCCAGCCATACCATCCTCATCTAAAGAACTTTTGGTACCCAGTTGCTTTCTCCACCGACTTGCAGGATGACACAATGGTAAATCAAGTTTTCTTCATAATAGTTTAATGTTATTTTATTCGTCATTAAGCAGTGTCTCATTTTTATGAAAATGTTGTTTTCAGATTCCATTTGATTGCTTTGAGCAACCATGGGTTGTTTTCCGCGGGAAAGATGGAAAACCAGGATGTGTTCAGAACACATGTGCACATCGAGCGTGTCCGCTTGACCTAGGTTCTGTTAAGGAGGGAAGAATTCAGTGTCCTTACCATGGTGAGTTACTCACAATCATGAAAAATGATCATGTTGTTATCTAAATTACAACTTTAACTAACAAATGAAATAATTATGCATTGTCAGGATGGGAATACTCAACTGATGGGACGTGTGAGAAGATGCCGTCTACTCGACTAGTGAATGTGAAATTAAAGTCACTGCCATGTTTTGAGCAAGAAGGCATGGTCTGGGTTTGGCCCGGTACTGACCCCCCAGCCCCTAACCTTCCTTCCTTAAAACCTCCACCAGGTTTCCAAATTCATGCCGAGGTATGTCTTATATTTGTTATCTTCATTTTGTTGTAGACCTGCATTGTAGAGAAGTCTTCTCAGTTTCATCATTCATGATGTCCTGCCTCGTGACAGATAGTGATGGAACTTCCAGTGGAACATGGGCTACTTCTCGACAACCTTTTGGATCTTGCGCATGCACCTTTTACGCACACATCTACTTTTGCCAAGGGTTGGAGTGTTCCCAGGTTAGTTGCAATGACATGATTACTGAACATATTTAGTCATTTGGTCAATTTTGGCGTGATTACTGAACATACTTTAGCTTAAATCTGAAATGATGACTGCTGCGCTGGAATGGATTTTGCTTCAACCTCACCTTTCTATTCTTTTGTGGTTGTCCAAAATTTTCAGCTTGGTGAAGTTCCTGACACCAGCATCTGACCTACAAGGATACCGGGACCCTTGTTAAATGGTAATTTGCAATAGTAAATTATCAATACTAAACTATGGCCCATTACCATCAACTCAAGGAGACAAATGCATTACCATTTTGGTTGGAATAATTATCAAATATTATTGAAGCCATCCATTTGACATCATGAGAAGAAAGCATAACTACCAATAATGTTATGCATTATCAAGTGAATGTGGAGACAGAAAATTGAAGATGATGAGCAAGTTGAAGAGTGGATATACGGTTATTTATTGGATGGGCCAAGCTCATTGTCACTTCCCTCAACTAATTTGATCTACGTAAATGCATGGAAGATAAGAGGGAGCAAGCCATGTGTTGTTGCATTATATGTTTGTATTTCATTTCAATATATATATGTATGTATGGAAAGAAAGAAAGAAGAAGTGTCAGAGAAGTAAAAAGAAAGAAAGGAAAGAAAGAAAGTCCCATGGTATCTGTATCTTTCTTTTTTGTGAGTTAAACACATAAGCCAAAAAGTGTAAGGCTATGTTTGTTTGAGTGTTTTCTAAAAGTGAGTGATTAAACACCAAAAGTTTCCTTTGTGTTGATCCTAATTTCTACCACAATTCCGTTAATCCCCAACAAATTTGGTATCAGAGCTAATACCCTTCTATCCTCTCAAAAATTCCCACCTTTCTAGCATACAAAAATCCTCTCAAAAAGCCATGGCAACAACTTTATCAAACACCACGTTTGCTACCTCCTCTAATCAAATTCCCATTTTTGATGGAGAATTGTACGAGTACTGGAGTGCCCAAATGGAGCCAATTTTCATCTCTCAAGATCTGTGGGATATCGTCCAAGAAGGATATGAAGATCCACAAGACGAGGATGAAGACTCGAAAAAACGAGCAGGCAAGCAGACAAAGGAGTACAAGGAGAATGCCAAGCAAAATGCCAGCGCCTTGAGAATCATTCAGCAAGCTGTGAGCAAATCAATTTACCCCAGAATCTATGGCATCAAAAAGGCCAAAGAAGCTTGGGATGTCTTGCGTGAACAATTCCAAGGTTCTGAAAAGGCGATCTCCATCATGCGACAAAGTTTATGGCGCCAGTTCGACAACTTGATGATGAAGGAAACCGACACCATCAAAGACTTCCATTCACGTGTGGCGGAGACAGTCAACCAGATCAAAGCCACCGGTGACGTCATGGAAGAGAGGAAGGTCGTGGAGAGAATTCTCAGGAGCTTATCATCAAAGTTCGAGCATATTGTTGCTGTCATTGAAGAAACCAAAGATTTGGCAAATTTATCAATGAGCGAGTTGATGGGCTCACTTGTAGCACACGAGCAAAGAATGAGCCGATTCACCAAACCGCCATTGGAGCAAGCTTTCTCGTCAAAAGTCAACATGACGGAAAGTAAATATACCAAATTGGAGCAAGGCCAGAGAGGGGGAAACTCACAAGGAAGAGGAAGAGGAAGATCCAATTACAGAGGAAACAACAGACAAAATTATCAACAACAAAGATCGGGCTACACCGGCTCGAGTTGCATAATTTGCAAAAAGGCGGGTCATGCAACAAAAGACTGCAGATTCAAGTGCACCAAGTGCAGAATTCAAAACCACTCCCAAAGAGATTGCTGGTTCCAGAACAAGCAAGAAGAAGGCGAGTCAAGCGGCACCAAAAATGAAAAAAGCAATATGGTGGCCTTATCATGTTTGAATGGTGAGCAAAAATCACAGCTTCCCTGGATGGTGGATAGTGGTTGCAGTAACCACATGACTAGAGATCTGGAGTCCTTCACCGACATCGATGACAAATACCGCTCTCAAGTCAAGTTGGGAGACGGGAAGAAGCTAAAAGTGGAAGAAAAAGGCACAGTTGTTGTATGCACAGAAGAAGGCAACAAAACTCTCATTCGAGATGTTTTGTATGTTCCGGAGCTAACTCTCAATCTACTTAGCGTGGGACAACTGATGCTGAAAAATTACAAGCTATTGTTTGATAATGGCGTATGCGAGATTATCAACAAAGCAGACAATTTCATGGTGGCCAAAGTCCCGATGACTTCCAACAGAATTTTCTCTCTTGCTATGTCACAAAATGGTGAAGTAGCATTCAAGAGTGAAAATCTGGATCAATCCTTCCTATGGCATCTCAGATATGGTCATCTCAACTTCAAGGGCCTAAAATTGCTGAGGCAGAAAAATATGGTGGTGGGACTTCCCCAGATCAACAGAGAAGACAAAATCTGTGAAGGATGCATATATGGCAAAATGCATCGTTTACCATTTCCAAAGACATCTTGGAGAGCAAAAGCGCCACTGGAGTTGGTACATGCAGACATATGTGGTCCAACCCGAACACAATCACTCAGTGGTAAAAGATATTTTCTACTATTTGTAGATGACTTCACCAGAATGATGTGGGTATTCTTTCTGGAGCAAAAGTCAGAAGCTTTTCCCAAATTCCTTCAATTCCAAGCAGTAGCTGAGAAGGAAAGCGGCCATCAAATCAAAACTCTCCGTACAGATCGTGGAGGAGAATTTATTTATACTCCGTTCATGGAGTATTGCCGCAACAACGGGATAAAAAGGCAGCTGACGGTCCGTTACACACCACAACAAAATGGCGTGGCAGAACGGAAAAACCGCACGATTGTGGAGATGGCGAGAAGTATGCTCAAAGCCAAGAAGCTTCCCAACAACTTGTGGGCAGAAGCGGTCAATACAACAATTTACATCCTCAACAGATCACCAACCAAAGCAGTTCGGAACAAGACACCGATACATGCGTGGCACCACAGGAGGCCACAGGTGGATCACCTCAAAGTCTTTGGGTGCATAGCTTATGCACATATCTCTACCCCAAACCGAGACAAGTTTGAACAGAAGGGTGAGAAGCTGATTTTCACCGGCTACAGTGATGAATCCAAAGGCTATCGTCTTTACAACCCAGTAAAGAACGAGGTGGTGGTTTCCCGAGATGTGATCTTTGATGAGATGGCGGAGTGGAATTGGGAAAATCCAATTTCTCAATCTCCACCAAGTTATGAAATTCTGGAGGATTCAGCAATTCCAGAAGACCCCAGCAACGACCCAGATCCAGTTGCTAGTCCAGAAAGAAATTCTGCACCTAGCCCAGAAGTAGACAACTTCAGAGACGTCGTAACAGACTCGGATTCACCTCCGTTGAGAACAAGGTCTTTGCAAGAAATTTATGAAACAAGTCATGTTGCATATTTTTCTTGTGAGCCTCAAGTCTTTGAAGAAGCAGCCAAAGAAGAAGTTTGGAACGAGGCAATGGATGCAGAAATTTCCATGATCGAGAAAAACAAGACATGGGAGCTTGTTGATCAACCGGAGAGCAAGCCGGTTATAGGTCTCAAATGGATCTATAAGATCAAATTCAATGAAGATGGTACTATCCAGAAGTACAAAGCTCGACTGGTTGCAAAAGGCTATTCACAACAGCCCGGTATTGATTTTTACGAGACATATGCACCAGTAGCGAGGATGGAGACCATCAGAACAGTTCTCGCTCTAGCTGCTCAACTGGAGTTACCAGTATACCAGCTAGATGTCAAATCAGCATTTCTGAATGGAGAACTGGAAGAAGAAGTCTATGTGGAGCAACCACGAGGCTATGAGAAAAAAGGAGAAGAAGACAAAGTCTATCGTCTCCGAAAGGCTTTATACGGGCTGAAGCAAGCACCGAGAGCCTGGAACAGCAGAATTGATCGATATTTTCAGCAAAACGGATTTCAAAGAAGTCCGAGTGAAGCATCTCTCTACATCAAAAAGGGAGATGGAAAAGATTTTCTTATGGTTTGTTTGTATGTTGATGACTTGATTTACACAGGTACAAATCAACATATGATCGAAGAATTCAAAAGCACCATGATGAAAGAATTCGAGATGACGGAATTGGGAGTCATGAAATATTTTCTTGGGATTCAAGTGAAGCAGTCACCTGGAGAAATATTTATTTCACAGGAGAAGTACACCGAAGATATGCTGAAAAGATTTCACATGGCAGCGTGCAAACCAATCTCAACACCGATGGCGTTCAACGAGAAATTACAACGCAATGATGGAGCTGAAAAAGTCGATGGAAAGCTGTACAGAAGTCTCGTCGGGTCACTCATTTACCTGACACATACCAGGCCGGATATATGTCATTCAGTAAGTCTTATATCAAGATTTATGAATGAACCTAGCAAACTTCATTTTGCAGCAGCCAAAAGAATTTTGCGGTATCTTCAAGGTACTAAAAAATTGGGCCTAACGTACAAGAAAGAAGCAGAAAGCAAGCTGACTGGATATACCGATAGTGACTGGGCAGGATCACTGGATGATCGAAAAAGCACATCGGGGTACATATTCTGCCTGGGTTCAAAACCCATTTCCTGGAGTTCAAAGAAGCAAAAGACAGTTGCTCTATCTTCAGCGGAAGCAGAATATATCGCAGCTACAGATGCAGCATGCGAAGCGGTATGGCTAAAAAGATTAATTTCTGATTTGCAGCAAAATGAAAATGGTCCAACCATTATTCATTGTGACAACATGTCAGCCATAGCCATGACAAAGAATCCAGTATTTCACGCAAGATCGAAGCATATCAAGTTGCGTCATCATTTCATCCGAGACCTCGTCAACGAAGGATTAATCGTGATGGAATTTATCAACACCGACGACCAGCCAGCAGATATCATGACAAAGGCGGTCACCCGTGAGAAATTCGAGAAGTTCAAGAAGGTACTTCAAATTGCAAATTAAGAGGGGGTGTTAAATGGTAATTTGCAATAGTAAATTATCAATACTAAACTATGGCCCATTACCATCAACTCAAGGAGACAAATGCATTACCATTTTGGTTGGAATAATTATCAAATATTATTGAAGCCATCCATTTGACATCATGAGAAGAAAGCATAACTACCAATAATGTTATGCATTATCAAGTGAATGTGGAGACAGAAAATTGAAGATGATGAGCAAGTTGAAGAGTGGATATACGGTTATTTATTGGATGGGCCAAGCTCATTGTCACTTCCCTCAACTAATTTGATCTACGTAAATGCGTGGAAGATAAGAGGGAGCAAGCCATGTGTTGTTGCATTATATGTTTGTATTTCATTTCAATATATATATGTATGTATGGAAAGAAAGAAAGAAAGAAGAAGTGTCAGAGAAGTAAAAAGAAAGAAAGGAAAGAAAGAAAGTCCCATGGTATCTGTATCTTTCTTTTTTGTGAGTTAAACACATAAGCCAAAAAGTGTAAGGCTATGTTTGTTTGAGTGTTTTCTAAAAGTGAGTGATTAAACACCAAAAGTTTCCTTTGTGTTGATCCTAATTTCTACCACAATTCCGTTAATCCCCAACAACCCTTACCCTATCGACATGGAATTTCGACCGCCTTGCATGGTGCTGTCCACCATCGGGATTTCCAAACCCGGAAAACTGGAGGGCCAAAGTACAAGGGAATGTGCCACTCACCTTCACCAGCTCCACGTTTGCTTACCTTCGACTAGAGGAAAGACAAGACTGCTGTACAGAATGTCCCTTGACTTCGCTCCTCTGCTAAAGCACGTCCTGTTCATGCAACATCTATGGAGACATTTTGCCGAGCAGGTTCAAATAAAAAAGATGCTTCGTTTTCTTTATATTTTGCACATGTCGCTCCTCTCAATCTCTAAGACTTTTGTCGAACATCATTGGGCGCAGGTTCTGAATGAGGATTTACGGCTGGTACTTGGGCAGCAGGAGCGAATGAACAATGGCGCAGATGTCTGGAATTTCCCGGTATCGTATGATAAGCTAGGAGTAAGGTATAGATTATGGAGAGACGCGGTCAACAAAGGTGAAAAACAATTACCCTTTAGCAATCAACGTAAAGAAGAGTCCTAAAACCCTGGAAAGATGGTCTCTACTACAGTGGGATTCTTAGCTTCCCTATCTGGAGCTGATTCCCTCGTCCAACTTGACTCTCATGGCGATCGGCAATGTTCAGGAAATGACAACCCATGTGCAAAAGTGCCGTTCAGTTTTTGATGTGTTGAAGAACAGTTGTAGAAGCTCGACCGAAGTTGTGGAATTCATCGCGACAGCAGACAATGGATCAACCAGCCTTCAGAAACGCAACTGTTTCAGGGTTATTTGAGCGTCTAACACTGCGATGGCTGATTTTGTGTACAGTCCGGTTCCACTTTATGATTTGAGGGGTCTGGATCGTCGCCGCCACCACCCTGGGCGGCTTTGTGAATGTACTGCAAGAGATGGAGACGAACATCTCGTTGTATTTATCATACACTAACATTGATTTACACATGCAAAGGTTACATTTTTTATCTTCCTAGAATCCCATGTACTCATCAGTAACTCAACTGAAAGCTCCCCAAGACAGAGAAAACGCATCGAAACGTATACACGATAACAGGAGATACGTTTACGCAAATTTTTGTCAACTATTACACCGCGGAGAGAATAGAAACGTTTCACAGAGATGAGCCACAGAAATGACAAAACTTGAACTCTCTCGTTCTTGGAAAAAATCCAAAAGTACCATCGTTTATTTTATTTTACAAAACTACCACCCAACCCAAAACATTTATAAAAATACCACCATTAATCAAAAACCGCACCCTTAAGGGGCGGTTCTCTTTCAAATCGCGCGGGGCAGGAGCGGTTCACATATAAACCGCATCCTGAGGTGGCGGTTTACTTTATATGGGCAAACCACCATATGAAGGAGCGGTTCATGTGGCTGTCCTAGCACAAACCGCGTCCTTGGGGTGCGGTTTTTCGTCGGCAGCATAAACCGCACCCCCCTGCGTTTTATGCCTCGTCCTCATTCACCAACATCCGACATGTCGGCATGCAGGAGGTAGCAGGGAAGGGGGGCTGCATGGCAGACTGAAAACCGCTCCCCCTGCGGTTTTGGTTTCAAATTTGCCTATAAAAGGCAACCCCGTAACACTCAAATCTTCACTCCTCTCCTTATTCTTCTTCAAATTTCAATTGTGCACCATTAATTTTTTGAGTTTTTGAGATTAACGTTAATTCGTAAGTTTGTTTTGTATTACTTTTTATTGTGATTTGTGATTTTTATGGTAATAACTTAATTACGGTTTTATTGCAGATGGCATTCCAAAAGTTCACGTTTGGGTTACGGTGGAATGGTTACACGGAAGAGACCGGAAAGGGGGTACGTTACGTCAGTGACGATTTTTATAAAATGAAGGTCGCTACGAGACCGATGCTTGAAGAGCTCCATCAAATGTGTACTAAGGTTACCTGCATGGATGGCACGAGAAGAGTTGATCGTATGGTGTATCGATATCCAAACAGACATGGGGGGTCGTTGTGGAATGAGGAATTTCTCATTACCACTCAGGCGGACGTTGATGCCATACTCCAATTTTTTATGACCAACAACATTAAATAGACAGAGATGTTCGTTTACACCGAGGCGGTCGATGGCGGAGGAGGTCATTCTGGAGATGGCCAAACATCTGGTATTCACAGTGGGGGTGGATTATACGAAGATCATCCCCACCAGGAGTACCAATCTCCTCATTCATACTAGGAGTATCATGATGGAGGTGGAGGTCATCATCAATCCTTCCCATCATATGAAGAAGAAGCCCAACGGTACCATGACAACCAACAAGAAGGCTACCAATACCAACCCGAGTACAACTTCTACCAAGGCGGTGGTAGTTACCACAACTACCATTACGGAACTGATGAAGGTGCATTTCATGATCTGGATCAGATGGAAGATGCCCTCCCAATTCCATATAGTGACCCTGAGGATGAAGAAGAGAATGGCGATGTCAGTGCAGACAGTTTCGATCCTCTTGAGGTGTTGATGATTTTGGCCCAGATTCAGACGCAGACGGTGTCGAGGTGTCTCGTGTCCGTGTACCTATCCCGTACTACAATCATATTCCAAATGAAGATTGGTATGTTGATGCCGACATGGAGCCGCCAGAGGTGCCAGTATGGGGTCCGCTAACTAGGTTTACGAAGGGCCAACAATTTGGAACGAAGAATGAGGTGCAGCACGTTGTTGCCACTAAAGCAATGACTCGGAGTTTTGAATGACACACAACTCATTCCGACATGAAGAGGCTCATGGTTAGATGCCAAAATCATCATGAGGGATTCAAGGCTAGGGTCCGGGTCATCAAGAGCAAGAGAGTCAGCCATTGGGTCATATCCCGTGCGGTGAACACTCACACATGTGTGTCATCCGTAACATCCCAGGGCCATCGACAGTTGAAATCCAGGGTGGTTGTCGCGGCTATCAAGCATCTAATTGAGCAAGAGCCTGACCTGAAGGTTAAAACCATCATCGCCGACATTTCTAGTCGTTATGGATATATTATTAACTACAAGAAGGCGTGGCATGGAAAGTAGAAAGCAATGGTCGTCTTGTTTGGTGACTGGGAAGAATCATATGCATTCCTTCCCCGATTGATTTTGGCATTGGAGGTGTCTAACCCTGGGACTTTTTTCTCCCCCCGCTACAAGATGAAGAAATTCAGCCGCCGGAGCCCGGTAACAAACGCCATTTCAAGCGTCTTCTCTGGTCATTCAAGCCATCTATTGATGATTTTCTATTATGTGTTCCTGTTATTCAAGTGGATGGAACATTCCTTACCGCCAAGTACAAGGGTACTCTACTCATCGCCAGCGGAGCAGATGCAAACAAATGTGTCTTTCCATTACCCTTTGCCATTGTTGAGGGAGAGAATTCCGACAGCTATGGATGGTTCTTCAGACAAATTCAACACCACGTCACCAGGCGGACGAACCTAACAATCATCTCTGATCGCCACGCCGGGATCAGGGCTGCCATCTTGGGCTTGGATCCAGCATGGAGGTGGTCACAGAGATGGTGCATACGACACTTCAAGAGCAACTGGATTTCAAGCGGAGGAAACTTGCTGATAGTCTATGGTGGTCCGGTAAGCGTTATATTTCATTGGTGAAGTATTTTTATTAACACTTATTTAGACTCTTTATAAAGAGATGCATGCCTAAGGAGAAGGGGTTTTAAGCGATCACGTGGTCCTTCCTTCTCCTGGGAAAATTGGGTATTAAGAGATCCTCGGATCCCCCCTTTTTCTGTCAAAAGGCTGTATTTCTAAGGGGATGTATACCTCTTCTCATAGTCTAACGAGTGTGCTTGATGATCCCAAATTATGTAAAACAATCGATACAGTTATGGACTTACCTTACGCTTCTTTCTGTATCCTCATCAGCTGTAGCCTACCAGGAGAAAAAATTCAAAGACAAGCTGCAGAAGATCCGTGAGCTATGTCCTGAAGGTGTAATGGGCTGGATCAACATGACCTAGCCATGTGGACTTTTCACAAAGACGGAGGAACCAGGGGGGTATTGCCACTACAAATTCAAGTGAGAGTATCAACAACGTATACAAGGAAGTTCGTGGACTACCAATTTCTGCCATTGTGGAGATGACTTTTTGGAAAACGAACCAATGGTTCGTCAGTCGACTCCATTGGGATGCGAAGCGAGAGGCACATGTTAATGTGCGCTCAGATAAAGCCACAGAAATTATGGAAAAGGATGGAAAGACCCCCGTCACTTTGTTAGTCCATACTTCAACATCGGGACCAGGCATTGGGAGGATGGAAGACGTGGGGGGAATCACCATGAAGTTAAGGTCAACTTCAGGACAAAATAAGGAGATTTCTCTTGCCACAAGTATCAGGGGAGAGGTTTCCCTTGTTCTCATGCAATGGTCGTAATCAAGCATAGGAGCAAAGACCCCCGTCACTTTGTTAGTCCATACTTCAACATCGATTCACTCAAAAGCTCGTTTGGAAGGAGCTTCCGTGCTTTTTCGGATGAAGCTTACTGGCCAGTATATGAAGGAAAGGTCATAATCCCACCAATGGGACTACTGCATGAGACAGGTCGGCCTAGGGTAAAGAGGATTCCCAACGAGATGGATCAAATTGTCACACCACCAAGAGGGCCACGTTGGTGTTCCATCTGCAAAGTTCCAGGGCATGATAAACGAAAAATGTCCAGGACCAATTGGTCCTCAAAATCCAGGGCCCGACGTTGTAGTCCCAAATATGGGCGTATAGATCATCATTACCATCTTTCATAATTTGTTTTCATATTATGTAGTTGGCTTTTGTGTGAGTTCAAAGTCATTGTATTTTTGTATTATCGACCTAAATTTTTCAAGTAGATTCCAACTGGGCAACTCAAAATAAAATAAACACACCAACAAATAAAACACAACTTGAAAATGTCACAACTTGTTCAACACAAAAAAAGAAACTACAAATAGTACACATCATGCATTCGCTCGCCTAGCCGCCCTTTGCTTCCTTGTACGATGAACGACTGGTCCTTGGGGTGTTGCAGTGGTTGGCTGCGGTGACAGAGGTCGAGGTCCAGTGGTAGGGCGCTCGTCCGTGCTATGGCGACGAGGTGCAGTGCTTGGTATCCCATCTGTGTGTGAACGTCTCCCACCCACGCTCATACGGTGGGGAGTGGTAGGCCATTTTGAGGTCTTGGCAAAGGCTGGAAGCCTTGAGGGGCACTCGTGGAGGAACCGTCTTCCCAAGTAGTCGATGATGTGCTGTCATGGTACATACTCGGACGGGGACCGTATTGCCAAGTCGGTCGGGCCTCATTGTAAGGACTTGAATCATACGGCCCACTCGGACGGGGATCGTACTGCCAACTCGGCCTGGGATCGTACTGAGTACTCGGGTCGTAGTACGTTCTCGGTCGTGGATCATACTGAAAACTCGACCGAGGATCGTACTGAGTACTCGGTCTAGGCTCGTACTGCCAACTCGACCGGGGATGTTGTTGAATACTCGGCCCATGGTACACTTCCAGCGGAGTAGGCACGCGCCACACTTCAATCGGCTTGATCTCGGGCACATGAGGTTGGTCCCTAACGGCCTTGTTTTGCCTTCTCTCGTACGGTGGGGGCGGGTTTGGGACATCTGGCGTTACCTCGGGTGTAGGCTGACAGGGGGCATCGGCGGGTATTTGTGATGGTCACGCCCATGTGCTCTAAAATAGCTTAGGAGACTGTTTGTTATCTTACGGATGATCCTCACATCTCGCCTCGGCAAATCATTCACAGTACGAGCTATACTGTGAATACGCTCGAGCCCATCAACCTAAACAACAAGAATTAACAAAGTTAGCCATTTTAAGTAATGATATATAGCCTACCAATTTGACGCCAAAATTTAAATAAATGAATTAATGTAACGAAATTACTTACCAAAGCACCGTCCGTCGCACCATCAGGCGTCATGTAACGAACAGATTGTCTTCGGTATATTTCCAGATATGGGTCATGATACCCCATCCGCCCCACCATAGTTGGAGTGACAATATCTTTATCTTGCCTAATATTCCAAATCTTGATGTAGTCCCTCAGCTCATGCGTCCAATTAGTAGCTCCTTGGCGACCATCTTTCCCAAGGTAAGCCCTTTGACTAGCGGGGACCTCAATGGGCATGCACTGCTCACGTCCAAATTGTTGTAAGCATCGATCCAGCAAGTGCCACTTCAATATATGGTGACAGATGAGTGGGACTCGCGTGCACCATTGATGTGGATTCAACGGGTGGACGTGATGGTTAGCGACATTCTCCGGATACGGGTCAAAAAAGACCTACAATGATGGCTACCAAATTAATGAACAATTAATAAACATATTCAACAACTTTGAAAATATCAAAGGAAGTAGAAGTAGTATGATTGTTATCTCTGCTTCCCATAGATGATCCAGCCTCCTACGATACTCTTCCAGCTTATGCTCGCAAAGGTTGTCGCATGTTGTTCGACCAAGCCACCTTATTCATGGATCAAATTATTCAATGTTAAAGCATAGTAACAATTCAACTACATAATAATGAAGTAGTAAAAAAATGAGTGGAGATATGAGTGGGATCGGAGAAGTTTACCTACAACCATAAGCTTCGAGTCTTAGGGGATGGTCGGGTCCCCATTACTTGTAGGTTTTTTCGAGCGTAATCCATGGCAGATGCTCCCAAGCCCAAAATTGGACAATGAACATCGCCCCATCAATATCCCTCACCCCTTTCCAACTTGCATTACAGAGAGAGCGGTAGATATTAGCTAGGCAAGCGGATGCCCAGCTCAGGTATCATAGCATCCCAATCTCTAAGGAGGATCTTCAACCATCCATTGCTGATTAAGTTGTTGGATTTTTTGGAGAAGAAAACTCCACCGATCATGCCGATGAGGTAGACACGGGCATAAAGTTCCTTGTCCTCGTCCAAACTTTCCGCCGTGAGCGAAATGTCTCCATCATTAGGGTTGTGTTTACGCTTGATCGCCGTTGTCAACTAATTGATGGAACATTGGCCCTTGGTCAATGGTGTGTTACCCTCCTCATCATGTTCTCCCTTTTCTGGCACTTTCAACTTCGTGCTGTTCATATCAAATGCTGCCAACCGCTCATATTCTCAACTTTATCTAGTGAATGAGAGTCCACACACACAACATCGCCATCGATGGGCAAATCAGTTAGGATGACGATGTCCTTCAGTGTGATCGTCATCTCGCCTTCAAGAAAGTTGAAGTAATGTGTCTACTTCCTCCACCTCTCCAACAATGTTGTGATAAGTTGGCGATCGATCTTTATCCCATTAAAAAGCCTAATCGAATCCAACTTTTCCTTTTTTAGAAAGGGCAAGATGACGTCGTTCCATGCGACCACATTGCTCGTACCCCTATAGCGGACTATATGGTATGCATCCTAGCGAATAATTTAAAGTTACTATAAGTTTATTATTTATAATAAATAAATATATTATAAGAAACAATATAAATTAACAAACATATGGATTTAACTAAAATTCATTATATTATTTTGTAAATCGTATTGATTGTTTTCAATAATTTAAAGTAATACAAGTACACTCATTAGACTCTTAGGAGATGTATACATCTCCTTAGAAACACAACATTTTTTTACAGAAAAAGGGAGGATCCGAGGATCTCTTAATACCCGATTTTCCCAGGTCATGGGAGGATCATGTGATCGCTTAAAACTCCATTTCCTTAGGCATGCATCTCTTTATAAAGAGTCTAAATAAATGACACATTGTATTATTCTAAACAATTGAAAACGATCAATACGATTAACAATTAACAAATTTATTTTACACTCCACTTGAAAGATGATTAACAAATAATTAGGAATTAACAAATTTATTTTACGTTAACAAAATAAAAAATGACAAATGATAATAAATTAGATGTACTTTGTGATCGTTCCATCACTTAACTGTCCAGCTGAGTCATGGGCAAGATAGATGGCGGCAGTCTGTGAGTTGGATTGATCGATCGAGCTGGATTCGATTATAGGGGCTCCATATCCCTCCGAAGCTGAAGGTCTTTCTCTAGCAAATTTTCAATCGCGTCTTGTCAACCATGGAAACTCTGATTAAGAAGGATGTTCAAGTTTTGCCACGTTGCCCGGTGTGTTGGGCAGCTGAGGAGACTGTGGAACACCTCTTTATGGAGCGCCCGGTGGCAAGGGCAATGTGAGATCATGTTGACCTAGAGGCCTTAGGCCAAGGGCTACCTTGTCAAAACTTCCCTCTTTCTTAAGAAGTTGATTTTACTGCTTACTCAACCCCATTAGAGCATGGTGGTGGTTGAGGCCCTGTAGCGGATCTGGAAATCCAGAACTTGGGTTATCTTTGAAGAGAAACGGTTTTATGTATTATCCTTGATGCGGCAGTATCATCAACAGGTCTAAGAATGGATGGGGTTACCGGTGGCCAGAGTGACTTTATTCCCCGAACCTCGTGGCAAATATGGAGAGTTCTACCCCGACCATGGTCACCTGCATGTGGGATGGTGCCAGAAGGAGAGGTTCACATTCGGCAGGGGGAATAGTTATCAATGATCAGAGTGGTTCGATTATCTTGGTTCGGGGTATTCATATTGTGGATATTGATGACCTGCTTGCAGTTTAACTTTTAGTGCTCCGCGAGAGGCCATCCAATGGTGTCTGGATTGTGGTCTCTCGCAAGTTCGGTTTGAAAGAGACGCGAAGGTGGTCATTGATAAAGTAAATTTGACTGGTGCTCGAGATAATCATTTTGGAACCATTCTACCTGAAGTCCGTGGTCTACTGGGAAATTTTCATGGTCTAAGTGTACAATTTGTAGGTCAAAATAGCAATCGGGTAGCCCACATAGTGGCTAGAAATGCCCTGTCATTGTATCAGACTACATATCGCTCTTTTAATTTCCTCTACTAGTTGTATGCCAGATTGTAATTTGTTCTACCGCTTTCTAATCAATATAAGATTATCTATTATAAAAAAACAAAGAGTTAAGGCTTGACATTAATCACTAGTTTATCACTGCTAACTAATTATATTACTACACTCTAGCAGCTAATTAAGCAACCATGATCACATTGTATGCATAACTACGGAAACATCCAATTTTGAGACATGCAATCCAACCAGTTGTGGCACAACCACTATACAAACTTTTGGACCATTCGTTGGTTCGAATATTCAGGGGGAAGCAGATCCGAAAAGATTACACTGGTTTCCATACTGTAAGCACCTCCTGGAACATCTCCAACATCAGCTCTCTATCAGCCTGCCTGAAAAAATTGTTAATCTCTTCTTTCACGTCATATATCTTGCCGAAATCAAACAAGTACGTCAAGCAGCCTTTCTTCAGTTTATCCAGCTGGTATAACCACGCTTCTTGCAGCCTCTCCAGCACATTCCCCGAATTGATATCCACCAACAGACTTTCCTCGCAAGCGTCTTTGAGAGCTGCAATGTCGTACTTGTTTGCAGCGCCCAACAACGAAAGACGATGCCTCCAGAAATCCTCCTGCTTAATTGTCCCATACAGGTAGCTCAAAAGAGCCACGCATGATTCCAGAGACATGTCATCAATGTAGATGGTGGATGATTCCTTTTCCTTGAGGTCGTGATGGAACATGCTCTGAAAAACGGGTGAACTTGCGGAGAGGATTGCCTTGTGAGCCCTCAAGGTGCCACCTTCAGCGGTATTGATGGTGACGTCGGCATGGATTCCTTCATCCAGCATCCGAGATAGACATCTGAGGGTGCTTTGAGTCGAGAGAGATTGCATTGCTCCGTCGCTGGGCCATATTGAACAGCTTTCACCACCCTGCATTTCAGACACATAAGCATTCATTAGTTAGGACTAACCTGACAAAAAAAAAAAGACTAACCTAACTGACAGAGTTTAACTACTAACTACTCCTAACATGTATCGAAGTGTCCTCCTAGTATATGACATTCTGATATAAGCCTTAGAAACCATACCACCAGGTTGATGAGAGAACAGTGGTGGCAAATATCAACAAAACCCAATCCACTTGAAATGCATCTAACACAAATTCCTTGGATTCATATCGATTAGGTTGGTGAAATTCTGGGTTTTGGCAAAACTATCATTTAGCACTTGACCATTGTCTTACGTTTTATAATCTAAAGTCTAAACTTCCGTATAGTTTATTGCGTCCAGATTACAATCTAGCACCTAAATATTTTAGTCCTTACATTTTGGTATCTAAGCTTTCACAATTTTACAAACAGGGCAACAATATCAATCCAGAATGCCAACAACCCGTGGACCCATTTTAGCCCAAATCATAAACCCATGAACCCATCAAACCCAACTCATTACTCATTTGCCACCTCTAGACACAGGTGGAGATAGGGGTTTGGGAACACGGGTAAGTTTTGATAAGAAAATAATGCATCCATATTGAAGATTATATAAGAGTACTTTACCACCACACCTGGTTTTAAATAACAGCCCTGCCACTAGATGACACCATTTGCATGCTTAAGGGAATCAGAAAGTTGACTTACAAATTTTGCGATCTTATAAGTTACTTATCAGACTTACCCTTAAGGATGAACAATGTCAAATTTATGATTTTCCAGGTATTGCCAGCTTTCGCGTGGCAAAAGGAGTAAAAACATCTAGTATGACCTGACTAATTATTAAGTAAGAGGAACTACTGTACCCATAGCCCGAAAGTTCCTTACATTCAGAGGGCAGATCTTGAGATCCAAAAACTCTACATCAATGATGAAGCGACCTTGAAAGTTGCTTTCAACAGGCCACACAAAATCATCGCATGTCCGAAGCAATCTCTCATGAACTACAGCAAAAAGGTCCCAGTGTTACATGGGCGAGTAGCTATGCTGAATATTTCATCAAGATGCATCTTAAAACAAGAAACACGCTGTAGTACAAAGAGCAACAAATGAGCAATGACAAATACAGAAGAAATTCAAGGGTTATCTATCTGCCATATTGTAGTTCATGCATACAATGTCCCGGTCAACATCAGCAATGAAGTGACCTAAAGAGGACTGTCTTGGATTCTACGGGTTACTAGGGTTTACAAGTAGTATAAAGAATTAGATTAAAATGATTCCACTGGAAGAGACAAGAAAGGAACATCAGATCCCCTAAACATAAGAAAGAATCAGATAGTTTGACAAAAAAGCCCAAGTAGCTGGATTCAGGGTGCACCTAGAATCATAAACAGCAACTGAACCAGAGAACAGCCAGCATAGTTCCCTTACTAGGCTATTTGAATAACTACTTAAGCAGTGTGGCAATACAATATCTAGAGAAAATACACTCATCCACTACAAAATACCAGATTCTGAAGATATAAAAGAACAATTCTCAGAAAACCTACAAGAAAGATATAAAAAAAAGTTCCACATGCTGAATAGCCACTAATCCATTCTGCTGCTTTATCAATTAATTACAACCATAAACACTCATTTCAAGATTGCAAAGGACTTGAGAATCCATGGAAGAACATAAATATTCACATCTCCAGCATCTTTACAAGCAAACAAACAGAACCCAGAACGCAAAAAGCTGCCCAAGGATCATTAGCCATTAATCTAAGCTATCAATTCTGCAAAAGTCAATTAAATCAAACAACTTTTAGCTACCCTTGTACCGATTGTTTAAAACAGAACAAGAAAAAGAAACACAAAGGTCAGGAATCAATTAACCAAAAGTTAGTTTTGAAACTAAAGCTTACTCGGAGAAATGTAAGGCCTCCGATTGTTGCCGGTATTGCACGACACCCTGAGGACGAATTTCGCGATTGGAGGCTGCTCTTTCGATGCCCTCGACGACTCCGGAAACAAACGAACGTAGAGGTATCGGTTCTTCTCCACGGATAAGTGCCTGTGAGGAAAATCCACATACAGATTGTAGACTGAAAACCGAAACTTTTGGGAAATCGGTCACCAGGCAAGCACAAAAACCCAATTTCGAGCAAAACCATCAAGTCCCAGAGACTAACCAATTCCAGATGCCGACCTTGAAAGGATCGGACTTTTTGTAAGAGCAAGGACCGAAGTTCTCGATCCTCCACTGGGCTAGTCTGGAGATGGTCTCCACCTTCGAATCCACCATGCTTTTGCAAATGGAATGAATAGGGAGTGAATTCTACTTTCACTGCGAGCTGCAGTGGCGGAGAGACTGAAGAATTGCGAGGAGCTGTAGGCAGGGAGGTGAAGGCGGAAGCCGGTCTTTGCGGGGACGTGTCGTTGTTGCGTTTCTTTTCTTGTGCTGGGGAAATAGTAATTGACTAGGGTCTGGTAATGGACTATGAGATGAGACTGACATTTATCCTTCACCGTCCGCATTGACTGCGATCATACAAAGTCAAAGAGCATTTTCCTATTTGGAGCATGGATGTCAAGCGTTAGGTTAGATGATGGGTGGCTGAATCTGTTATAAATTATAATGGATGTTGATCATGAAATCGGTTGGAATGTCAACGGTATGATTGGTATTATCGATTTATGTTATCTAAATATAATGAAATCGTTTTAGTTAGTTTAATTAAAAAAATTAGTGATTGATTTTATGAATTTGAAAGTTAAATGTTGATGTTATTTGTGAATTCAAGAATAAAAGTTTTGCAGTTGACGTTAAATGTCGTATTTAAATATGAGTTTTTGTTATTTTATTTGGAATGTTGTATTTTATTTAAATTTGAATGTAGATTGTAAGTAGATTGTCTTCAAACATGTTTGATATATGCTTAAATTCATTTTATGTTAATGGTTTTTTCCATTTTTGCATATTTTGTTAAACCTCCATGAACCGGCATAAACCGAGCGTACCTCGGTCGAACTATACACTTGCTAAACCGACGCAACAGTAAAAATCAGTTTGACAACTTGACTTCGAGAGAATTATTTTTATAAGGGTGGCATAGGTTTGTTTTTATTGTTATGTGCTTCTTGAGGGATTCGAATTTGAGACCTTTAGTTTGAAGATTACTTGAGAGGAAAATCCTTTAGTTTGAAGATTACTTGAGAGGAATTTTTTTTACAAGAGTGACATAGTTGATGTCCACAGTTAGGTGCTTTTGAAGGGATTCGAACTTGAGACCTGCATATTGAAGACTAGTGGCGGTACTACCAATTTACCACTGGGCCAAGCCCTTGTTCGCATACTTGGGAGGATTTTACGATAAGCATAAGCACTGTGATTTCTAGTACAAATTAAATTAGATGTTTAAGGTACAACTTCAATTTGTACCGTAAAAAGGAATTTCTATGAAAAGGTATAGATATTTGTATCTTAACGTTAAATTACATGTTTAATTTGTACTATTTTTTATTCAAACATTTTTCAGATTCTTTTATGTTATCCAAACCTATTAAAATTTTATTAATTAGCCAAATCTTTCTTAATGAATCAAAATATTATCCATTTTACGTTATCATTAATAATTTTGTAACTCTTTTCTTAGTTAAAATACTAAAATTTTGGAATGTTAACCTTCATGTGTCTCTTCCAATTCAGTATCATGTTGTCAAGTCAATATTACTAACAAAATTGCTAACTGGAAGTTAGCATTTGGCTAATTCTTAGTATTTCTATAGGTTTAGTTAATAAAAAAGAATTCGAAAAAGATTTGATTGATAAATAGTCATTACCCTTTTATACAAAAATGTATTAGGACAAACTGAATTTGTGTCATAAAATTTTTTTTTAAACGAAAAGCCCAATGCTTATAAGTATAGTAACGGAGCTCTTGGGAGGAATTTACAATGCTTTGGACGAGTAAGGTAGCTACTCCATAGGTGTTAGTAGTTAGTACCCTGCTAACTCCTCTAATCACATCAATTATTTTGAAGTTGAATTTAAGGATGGAGAATAGTGAATGACTTGTTTGTATTTTATAAAATCCAAATTAAAATAAATTAAATTTTTTTTCTATATTAAATATTTCCTAAAAATTTATTAGGATAAACTATATACAACCTTTACTAGTTAAATTAGTAATAATTTTGATGGTTTATAGTAGTTATTTTATTTTTTGTAGTTATTTTATTACAATTATATTAGTGATTATGGGTCGTCATAATTAGTTTTTATAGTTATTAGTAGTGTTTTGTCAGAGTAGTGTGTAAAACCACTAATTGTGTATCGTCAGAGTAGTAGTGTTCCCATTAATAAGTAATGTGCAAGTTGCAAAACGTAACATCACTCGGCGAATTCCTGCTCCTTTAAATGAAAAGAGGTCGCTCTTTAAATCTTTCTTTGAAAAGTAGTTGCCCATATCCCTAATGAGAAGGAGAGGTGACTTGAAAGGTTCCTAAGAAATGTTCAGTGATTGAGAAGTTCGCATAGTTTGAGACTTTGGAGAACTGGATTAATTAAGTCTCAGCATCGTTGCCAGCGAACACCAACCAATCCTCATGGAATGCAACGAGTGGAGGATAACCCTCTTCCATTCCCCTCCAAATCTCCAAAACCGTGTTTAAGTATCATCTTGGAGAGAGATGCTGACAGGCAGCAGTGTCTATCTTCTTATTCCTCCGCCACGTTCGTGGACAAAAAGTACTACGTACCCAATGATACGAATCGGGTCGACGTGAAGAAGAAATGCAAGATTTTATGCATGAGTTGGTTCGACTGTTGCTGTGATAGTAGTAGTGTTACATCACAAAATCATATTCCAACTAGTGGTCGTGTTTCTTCAAGGAAGTAGTTGTTTTTGTCAAGAAAATTATTTTGTGCAACCCATAGGAAATTGGGAGTGGATAGGGTGCTATCACTCTTAAGTGTTAGCACCATACTGACATTTAGAGGTCGTTTGCTTGTGGGATTTTAAAAAATGAAGGATTAGGGTAAAACCTTGGATTTTGAAATTGAAGGATTATGTTGGTTTTTGCTATTTTGAATTCGTGTTGGATTTTATAAATTGCATGTTTGCTTGTTGGATTTCAGAATGGATTTTGTTATATTGGATTTATGAGTTAAATGATGAGTTTACCTTCTTATCCTTCTTCTTATCTTTAATAAAGTATTTTTGTTTTATTTGTTAATGATACTTTGGTCATTTCATAATTAGTGAGGTCCACGGATTTTGGCACTTCTCAAAATCTTACCTCATGAGGTGGAATTTTATAATCCGTGGGGTCCACGAATTTAGTGCAAAATAAAATCTCATATTTGTGGGCCCCACGGATCTAGGCCAACTTCATTTTTATCAACCAACATGGATTTGAACCATAATCCAACCATATGGGATTTTGAGACAAAATCACTCATCAAAATCCTACAAACAAACAACCTCTTACTCAAAGGTATTATAGTAACTATTTATTCTCTTTTTCCTTCCTTTTCCTTCTCCTCCCTTGACCCCTTCTTTGTTTCATTAACAAATTACAGTTTTGGTACCTGAACATTATAGATAATAATATTTAGTATCTAAAATTATTACTTTTACATTTGAGTCTCCAAAAAATTGTTGGAAATTTACATTTTAGTACATGAAATTTTTATTTCTTACATTTGGTACCTAAACTTTTAAAAATTGACAAACAAGTCCACAACTAAGAAACTTCTGGCCTACTTTGAGGTTCTGGCCTACTATGAGGAGGTTCTAACCTACTTTGAGATTCTGACATACTTTGAAGAGGTTCTGGCTTATTTTGTGGAGGTTCTAGCCTACTTTGAGAAGGTTCTGGCCTACTTCGGTGGTGTCCCTCTCTTCCTCACATTTAATGCAAAAAGGACGTCTGGTCCCCCCTCCCTTCTCCCAATTTTATTAATGACCACGTGCCCTCCTTTCTTTTCCCTTCATTAATTGCGGTTAACTCATTTAATGAAAAATCATATAAACAAAATGTTTCTATTGGCTGGAACTAGTGTTAGCAGTTAACACCATGCTAAAAAACAGTGATAGCATGCTAGCCTTTCCCTAGAAAATTGACGTTTTGTTTGATTTTAATGATAGTTGAATTGATGCATTGTAAACAATTAATATATTATACTGTATATGTAATTAAGAAAAACAATGTATTGTAGTTTACATTATTTTGTTTTTGTGATAGTTATTGTAATATTGAAATAAATTATATTATTTTTGTGAAAAAAAATCACTTGTTCTCTTTACTTTAATGTTAATTAGCAACACAAAGTTTGGAATACAGTTGGAATAAAAAAATCCAACAATCTCAAAGTAACTATCTCAACAATCATTTTGAGTCCTAGTTTTTGTCATATTAAATAAACAATGCTTGTATTATTTATACAAAATATTCCAAATCATAGAATATTGTGAACAATACAAATACATTAACTATTTCAACCAAATTGTCATTAAAACTCAATGAACTCTTAACTCAAAACTGCTACACAAAACGCCATCTACATTAAGTCAAAATCACTACTATACTCGTAAAACATTATAACATTGAAAACACTACCATGTCCATTTGATTTGGAAACTCTACAAAAAAATGACAACCACTATCAAGGTTCAAACTGTCAAGTACCAATGGATCTCAATAACTCGAGTTGTTGAGAGAGGTCAAATATAGATCATATATCACTCTTTAACACATCTCCTCAAACGAAAGCCACTCATAAAGGCTTGAAGTTTGCACAAGTCCGAATACCATGTGCTTAACAAATGGAGGTTATGAGGATTCAAACACAAGACCTCTCGGTCATAGAATGCTCTGATACCATGTCAAGAACCAATTGATTTCAATAACTTGAGTTCTTGTGAGAGGTTCAATTATAGATCATATATCATTGGGTTTGAAATTTGCATAGGCTCATGTGCTTAATAAATTGGAGTTATGGAAATGTGCTTAATAAAGAGGTCGCTCTTTAAATCTTTCTTTGAAAAGTAGTTGCCCATATCCCTGATGGGAAGGAGAGGTGACTTGAAAGGTTCCTAAGAAATGTCCAGTGATTGAGAAGTTCGCATAGTTTGAGACTTCGGAGAACTGGATTAATTGAGTCTCGGCATCGTTTCCAGCGAAAACCAAACTATACTCATGGAATGCAATGAGTGGAGGATAACCCTCTTCCATTCCCCTCCAAATCTCCAAAATCGTGTTTGAGTATCATCTTGGAGAGAGATGCTAACAGACAGCAGTGTATATCTTCTTATTCCTCCGCCATGTCCGTGGACAAAAAGTATTATGTACCCAAGAATACGAGTCGGGTCGACGTAAAGAAGAAATGCAAGATTTTATGTATGAGTTGGTTAGGATGTTTCTGTTATAGTAGTAGTGTTTCATCACAAAACTATATTCCGACTAGTGGTCATGTTTCTTCAAGGAAGTAATTGTTCTCGTCAAGAAAATTATTTGGTGCAACCCATAGGAAATTGGGAGTGGATAGGGTGTTATCACTCTTAAGTGTTATCACCGTACTAACACTTACTCTAAAGTATTATAGTAACTATTTCTTCTTTTTTCCCTTCCTTTTCCTTCTCCTCCTCTTGACCCCTTCTATGTTTCATTAATAAATTACAGTTTTGGTATCTGAACATTATAGATAATAATATTTAGTATCTAAAATTATTACTTTTACATTTGAGTCTCCAAAAAATCGATGGAAATTTACATTTAAGTACATGAAATTTTTATTTCTTACATTTTGGTACCTAAACTTTTTAAAATTGACAAACAGGTCCACAACTAAGAAACTTCTTGCCTACTTTGAGATTCTGGCCTACTATGAGGAGGTTCTGACCTACTTTGAGGTTCTGACTTACTTTGAGGAGGTTCTGGTTTACTTTTTGTGAAGGTTCTGACATACTTTGAGGAGGTTCTGACATGCTTTGAGGTTTTGGCCTACTTTGAGGAGTTTTCTAGCCTACTTCGTTGGTGTCCCTCTCTTCCTCACATTTAATGCAAAAAGGACGTGTGGTCTCCCCTTCCTTCACCCAATTTTTATTAATGACCAGCTTGTCCCCCTTTCTTTTCCCTTCATTAATTGTGGTTAACTCATTTAAATGAAAAAGTCATACAAACGAAATGTTCCTATTGGCTGGCGCTAATGTTAGTAGTTAACACCATGCTAACAAAAACAGTGATAGCATGCTAGCCTTCCCCTAGAAAATGGAGGATTTGTCCTTGTTATAAGAACCGAACCGGATCAACGGTCGGGCCAGTGGAACCGTCAAATCAGTTACGATAGCAGTCCGGTTCATTGTTTGAATGGTTATTGATGGACCAAACGGTTTTTCACGGTTCAACATAAAATCAGATGAACCGACATGGTTTAGCTAGTCCATTGGTTCACTATTTTAACATAAACTAAGACCATCAAATCGTGTTTATTAATTTTATATATGCTTCCTCAACCTTATTGTTGATTTTACATTATCTACTAACAACTAGAACCGTAATTTTTAATTTGAATTAAAAAAAGTGGTTTCTTTTGTGAGATGGTTGGAATGATTTATTAGATATTTTCGTGATGATATGAATTTGAACTTGTTTATGTCAATGATAATTTCATTCTTAAATTAGTGTAATATACAAGTCTTATATGTTATATATCATTAACGGTTCTATCAACGGTTCACCAATGATTTTGTAACGGTTCACTGGTGAACCCTTAAACCACTAACTTTTCCGGTTCAGCCTCCGGTCCGGTTCTGAAAACAGAGGGATTTGTTTGATTTTAGTGATAGTTGAATTGATGCATTGTGAACAATTAATATATTATACGGTATATGTAATTAAGAAAAACAATGTATTGTAGTTTACATTATTTTGTTTTTGTGATAGTTATTGTAATATTGAAATAAGTTATATTATTTTTGTGAGAAAAATCACTTGTTCTCTTTATTTTTAATGTTAATTAGCAACACAAAATTTGGAATATAGCTGGAATAAAAAAAAATCCAACAATCTCAAAGTAACTATCTCAATAATCATTTTAAGTCCTAGTTTTTGTCATATTAAATAAACAATAAACAATGCTTGTATTATTTATACAAAAAATTCAAAATCACAATACATTGTGAACAATACAAACACATTAATTATTTCAACCAAATTGTTATCAAAACTGAATGAACTCTTAATTCAAAACTGCTACACTACCACTATCAGGGTACAAACTGTCAAGTACCAATGGACCTCAATAACTCGAGTTGTAGAGGAATGCCAAATATATATCATATATCACTCTTTGACACGTCTCCTCAAACGAAAGCCACTCATAAATCCTTGAAGTTTCCACAAGTCTGAATATCATGTGCTTAACAAATGAAGGTTATGGGGATTCAGACACAAGAGCTCTCAGTCACAGAATGCTCTAATACCATGTCAAGAACCAATTGATCCCAATAACTCGAGTTTTTGTGAGAGATTCAATTATGGATCGTATATCATTTACTAACACACCGACTCAAACAAAAGCAAACTCACTGGGCTTGAAATTTGCATAGATTTATGTGCTTAATAAATTGGAGTTATGGAAATTCAAACACAAGACACAAGAAACTCTAGGAGATACAAATAGATACAACTCGAATTGTTGAAACTAGATCATATATCATTTAGTCCAAACAAATACAGAATGATCAACACAACGAGGACATATCATCCCTCTCCCTACTCCCTTTTTATACAATGAGTGGCACTCAATTTCAAAATGTCAACCTAAATCTAGTAAGTTTAGCAGAAGAAGAAAAAAAACGGTTCACTGCCATTTTACCTCTTTTCGCCACACAAACATCTAGCAGCTTGCAGAGCGAAATAGGTGAGGATGATGTCAGCTCCAGCTCTTCGGAGACACAACAGGGACTCCATCATTACCTTCTCTTCATCAATCATTTTCAGAATCCCACCAGCCTTGATCATCGAGTATTCACCCGAGACCTGGATTCGTATTTTCATAACAAAACAGTTACAAAGGAGCCTATCCATGGAGAATTGAATATGATTTAGATGGAAGAGTACTTGATATGCAGCGATCGGCAAAGGTGAGTTGTCTCTGATTTGCCGGATGATATCGAGATACGGAAGACCAGGCTTCACCTGAAAACCCAGCGGGTGAAGTTAAGAACGAGACAATCTTTTACATGTACAAATTCAAGGATCCAGAACGGAAAGGGAGACCAACCAGGAGAATATCAGCTCCTTCAGATTCATCTTCATGAACCTCAACCAAAGCCTCTCTGTAATTTGCAGGGTTCATCTGATAACTTCCATTTTTCCCAAACAAATAAAAAGAGTTAGTTAGGGACAAACATAGACACTTTAGGTTTGATCTATGAAAACAGAACATCCTCAACAAAGCACGTACGTCTTTTTATCACCGAAATGTGGATTTGAGTCCAGTGCTTCCCGGAAAGGGCCATAGAAAGAACTAGCATACCTGGTTGCATGATTTAAGGAGGATTAGTAATTGCTGAAACAATAGAACCATAGTATCTCACCAAATCAAATATAAACCAATTCATCAAAAGTTCACAACTGTCTCCAAATGCTACAATATTTTTCACAGGTCTAAACTCCTAATCACCAAATCAACCAAGTTGTCGATTGAATCACTAGAAAATCCCAACTTCTAGTGACTCCTTTATATGTGAATATTCCACTCACAGAAAACTGCTATTGTCCAAATCTTGGCAAAAGCCAAGAGCAGAGAAGGTATAACACCAATGACTTACTTTGCTGTGTAGGACATGATTAGAACATGCTGAAATCCTGCATCATCAAGAGCACCACGGATAGCTCCAACACGGCCATCCATCATGTCACTAGGACTAACAACATCAGCTCCTGCTCGAGCCTGTTCATTCGAAGTATCCATGATTAGGACGTGTATCTAGAATCCCTGACAATTTGAACTTTACAATATCAATAGATAGAAGATAATACAAAGTTGGTGATGACAAAATAGGAAGGCTCTTGTATTTAAGCCAAAATCAAATAAACGATTATGGACTTTGGCAAAAATCAAGGAAATTCTTCTCCAAAATAGTCATGAATGTACATTATATGGACCAAAGAACTTTATCAAACAATTGATAAGAAAAAGTAATCAATCTAATACATAAAAAAAAAACCTCGATAAAACGAATGGCTGGCATGAATTGATACTACTATGTGTATTACCTGTGCAACAGCTTGCTTGCACAGTTGGTGTACTGTCTCATCATTCATTATGACTCCTGGAGGTTTACATTGAGAGCAATCAGAAACTACAGATGAAGCATTTGCCATCAAACAAAACTAGGCTATCGCACGTGATCTAACAAATTTATGGACAAAGAAGACAATTGTGATCTATCAGTTCTAAGCAATATCTCGTGCACAAACACTCGTTTCTGACACTTCTAATATAAAACATAATGTCCCAATAAGATATTGCAGTTCTCCTAAAAGAGCAGTAGCTTCCAGTAAGGAAGCTGTCCACGCCTGTCCTAAATGAGCCAAACACTGAAAAGATTAGCTAGTCAAGTTTCCTACATAATTAGAACATGGATGTAGCATCCGCATAACCACCAGAGTTCCTATGGCATGACCAGGTTGTCCTTCCCTAAGGAACTCCTTCAAAAAATGCAGCTACGAATGACTATCCTAATTACAAATGTTGGAACTTGTTCGACTCTCTTAGCATCCCTATCAAGCTACTTATACCACTTCAAGCTAACATATTTCAAATATAAGACCAAAAAATCACATTGACAGTTATATCTTCTTACCATCTTCTCTCACAATACCATCATGCCCATCAGAGGAATAAGGATCGAGAGCCACGTCAGTATAAATAGCCTAAAGAAAGATCGAGTCAGGATTGGCGAAACTATAGATTTCCACAAATCATTAAGCAAACTATGAGATTAAGTCTCAATTGAGTATAACATCCAAGTCCAATTAAACATATGCAGTTTCACTTACAAGACCAGGGAATTTGTCCTTAAGCATTCGGATGGTCCTTGGAACTAGACCATATTCATTATAAGCTTCATCTCCTGTAGGGGTCTGCAATGGAAGAAAGAAAGTTAAATTCCACCTTGACTGCAATAGAAAGGGAAATCCAGAAGACCTGTCATCCAGGACAGAAGAAGAACCTTCAAGGCATCAGGAACTTTGGGGAAGAGTACAATACTGTTCACACCAACATCCCGGGCCTTTGCAACCTGCATCAGACATTTTAGTAGTGTGCAACGAACTGCTAGTCAGCAGATATACTCAGCTGTTGTGCATGCATTACAATTTGAAAGTCTTCCGACTGCCCATCTACAAGAAGAAAAATATTTAACCTAAACTTCAAAGATAGTTAGCATTAATAATCGAGCCAAAAGTCTTAGGCTTTCACATGGGAGACGAGTTAGCAGGAGATACCCAAACAAAATCATGGTCTCCTAATTTAGTTATAATATCAAATGTTGCTTGCTTGTCAACTCATAAACCGTCACATAGTATCAAGAACACTAGTCAATGGTACTCACTGGCTGATAGGACAAAGCAGCTGAATTTGATTCTTTGAAAATGGGTCTCATTCCCAATTGACCATAATCTACGTCCCATTTGAACCTTGCATTGGTTCGTTTAGAAATGCGCCGATAAAGCAGCAGGTTCGATGGTTCTATTTACTAAACCCCAAAGATGAAATTTAACCAAGAGACTGCCCAAAGTCAAGGATTTTGCCTACAATCTATCACTGTCAACGGAAGTGATTCTGCCATACAAGCAAAAAAAGGGATGAATCACCTCTTCCAACAGTCCATGTCTCCATCCAAGCCTATAACATCCCGGCATTGCCCCAATAGGCGTGTCCTCCTCGCCTGCACGTATCAGAATTCAGCAACCCATTGCTAACCAAAAAAAGAGGGTAAAGAAACGGAAAAAGCCGATTGAATGGATTTGCATTCCCAACCTTCGTGAATGAAAAGTGGATAAACAAAATTCGCCGGCGATATACTGGTTTCCTGAAACGCTGCTCTAAGCGCAGGTGATCTTCGAGTTCGACGAGGGCGCCTGGAAAGTGGCTGCCGGGAAGAAGGAATACAAACACAAAATAACGCCAGTAAAATCCTCCAGAAACCCAATAAATCGCTACAATAATCAACTCGTGGAAGATTTTAGCACTAACAAGCGAAGGAACCACGGGAGTCCCGGCGGGAGCAAGGGGTGTGGGCGGGACAGGAGGCGCCTCGGGGACGTTCCCTGCGGCAACTGCTGCTTCACATTCAGCATCGCTCAATCCCGTCTTCACCGGTACATCGCTGGTCGCTTTCACCACCGGAAACAGCGGCTTCGGAGCCGGAGAAGACGAAGAAGGAACAGCGATCGATTTCCTATTAGGCGACGCGATGAACCTTAAATTGCCCAGGGTGGGTTTGTAGGTGTTGCAATCCAAGCCTTTCACGGCAGTAGGGAGACTCGACGAAGTGCTGAATATGGTGGACGCCATGGATGGGGATAGGTTTCAGCTGGGAAGTGGGATAGTTACTCGTTAGGAAGCGGGCGGGAATCCGCGGGTGATGCGGAGACAGAGATCTCGAGCAGAGAATAGGAAGATGAGCTTCTTATCTTCTGATCTAAAATCCCACTTTTGACGTTGGACTTCTGTTTTCACACTGTAATTAATCAGTTACGCCACCTAGCACGGGCAGTAAATACTTAAGACCTCAAGAATTAGGAAGGTTAATAAAGCTATATTGTCAATCCCATTTAGCCTATTGGCCCGACCGATCGAGTAAACTGTACTGGAGTTTATATAAAAAATGCCACAAGATAGTCTAATGGTAAAGCTGCCGCGACAATGAAGGTTTGGGAGTTGCAGATCCTAGGTTTGAATTCAAGTGAGGCCAGTTGGTGTTTCCGAAGGTACAAGGCTGCTGGGGGGGGGGGGGGGGGGGGAGAAGCCCGTTGGCGTCGAAATTGATTGCAAATGACCCTCAGGTTTAGTAGGATCGCTACTGGTTTTGTAATTGAGTTCAGTGAGAGAGATTACTTATGGTTGGCAATGTAGTAGGTCTTTTATGAGGGAGAATCCACAAGGGATGCAACGAAAAACATTCATCTCTGGCTAAGTGCAGTGAGAATGTGAATCTTACTGACAGAGACAACATTACAGAAACTCCATTTACTGAAACTGTATCACTCTTTCCTTACATTTAGGAGTATCATACATACCAAACAAAGAAAACCAGAGGACATGAAATGCAAAACAACTCAGAAAGAAGATCAAAGAAAAGGAACCCATTTGGCTCCATTTCTTTACTATCTTGAAACAGAAGACAACACTTTTGCTAAGGGAAGAAACAAAGCTTGATCTTCTAAAATGTTTATTAAAAACACATAAAAATGCAAAGAGAAGAAACAAAGCAGCCAAATGAAGTCTCTCTTTTTCCTGAAAAAATTTCTGCTCAACAAAAGAATGAAACTATTTAGCCTCTTTAGGTCTGATCTCAATCCCTTCAACAAAAATCCCTCCTTTCCAATTCCCTCCTTTCACCTCAGCAAGGTACATCTCCAACTCCCCTTCTCCCACCCCTTCCTTGGTGAAGAAGTCACCCAGCTCAACCTCATACGACCCATCCCCCCTCTCCTTGGGATACACGCCGCTGCCTCGCTCCACCGCAGCAGCAGCAGCAACACCACCACCATCGTCGTGGTCGATCTCCTCATCAGCCGCTTGAGCAGGGGAATGAAATCCCATTATCACACGGCTGCGACGCGGGCTGAACCGCCTGAACCCACCCAACCGCCTTGTAGCACCCACAAGGGGCACTACCTGCTGGAGCCTCTTCCTCTTCACCATCCCCGCATCAAGGTAAACCGATCGGACCGTCTTGTCACTGCCCGACAGCCCTACCGAGACCTCGACGGGCTGGTGGTCGAACCCGTAGCCCCCCTGGGGCGACCTGAACACAAGATAAGCGGTGTACAATGTCGATGGCGACAGCATCGTTGTTGGAATTGTGCCCTTCAATTCCAGCCAGCATACCCCAACCAGCTCAGCAGCTTCCCCAAATCTGAAAATCAGGGGGGAAATCCCATAAATTACTTTACTTGTCCCTCCCTAAATTCAAACACAATCAGGGGACAACACAATAGTTGCAGAATGAGAGAAAGGGCAAACCTGGAATCGGACTCGGGAACCCATTTCCAGTACCGAGGGGTATCTCCCCATATAATGTGGAGGTCCCTGGAGGAGATCATGTAGCATTTCTTCCCGGTTCGTTTGTCCAGCGAGAAGCTCTGGCAGAAAATTGGACGGAATTAGGTCTGGAAAGCCCTCGCATCGACCGAGAAATTGGAAGGGAAAGAAGTGATATCAATTAGTCACCTTCCGGCCGCCATCGATGAGGATGGGGCGTTCGCATAGGCGGAGGAAGAGATCCTTCTTGTTGGAGGCGAAGTCGGGATCGGAGGCGTTGGTGGTTCGGGAGAGAATGGAGAGGATGTCCGGGGGGAGAAATCGGTCCCAGACGGTGTCGGAGAGGGAAGCGGACCAGAAAGTGGACGAGACGACGGCGAGGCGGCAGGATTCGCGCGGCCCCGTGAAGGAGAGGACGTTGGCGATGAGGTCTTGAGGGAGGTCGTTCATGTCGAGGCGCGAAGGCGGGGCGGAACGGGGGAGCCGTTTGACGGTCTGCATTTTGGGATTTTGGATGAAGGAAGGGTCGAGAGAGGATATCGGTTGGCGCGCGGAATCTGGGGGTTTAACGGCTGGTTGACGAGTGGGTTTATATAGAGTGATAGGAACAGGGGAAGCTTAGCGGTGAAGGATGTGTATTGGATCGGATGGATAAAGAAGGGGAGAGAAGGGAGCGCTGGTAAGGAAAAGTCGCAGGGGAAAAACTGCATCTGTGTCACTAAAATGGGATCCCTCCGTGTAAAGGGGAGGGAAAGGGTTCGTTTGGTTCCCCCACCGTCTCTCTTTAGTCTTTAGAGTTGACCAGAGACAGAGGAGAGGAGTTTGCTTGCTTAATAACTAGCTTGTACCCGGCCAGTTGGCCGGAAAATTCAATTAGCTCAAATCATATTTTTGTAACAAATTTAGATTTTTATTTATTGATGTATTGGTAAAAAATTAATGAGCTCAAATCATAGTTGTGCATCGAATTTGATATTTTTATTATCAATATAATAAATATTTTAATATGACTACATCAAAGTTAACTTATGAATTTCGTAATCATGATAATCAACTCATTGTTAATAGATTATATATTTGGTTTTAGATTGTTGATTTTAGTTAAGATTTTTGTACTTATTTCTCTTGGTTGGATTACTAAAAGTTTGAGAACATGTAAGTACGTATTTATAATTCATAAGCATCCAAGTACTAATATTTTTCTAATTGCATTTAGTATTCAAACGTGGTTGATAAAAAATGGGAGACCTGGTTTGTTTGTTTGTTTATGCTTATACTTGACTTGGTTGCTTAATGATTCTAATAAAAGAAAATTATTAGCATAATATTTGATTTTTTTAATATGTCAACCATAAACATGTTGCTCATATACACCAAATATCATTGGCTTAATCTAAGAGTTCATACTATGGAGTAGTGTTGATTAAAAATAAATAAAAATTAAAGTTTCCATTTTCTATCTGTGTTTCAAACTATTTGGCCATATATATATAGAGGTGCCTTCTATGGTACCCTAGATGAAATCCGGCATACCGCATATATTGTGTATGAAAATGCTATTTAGACCTCGAATTAGCAGGATTTTTGGGCATGATACTATACCATAACCCTTAATGAGTGAACCCTAGGCCCTAATTATCTAAATCATAAACTATAAACCGTAAGATGATGCATTGATTTTTTGCCTATATTTGGACGAATCATAACCGTCGATTATTGTTTCAAATTAAATTGATATTGGGGTATAAGATTTAGAGAATTAAGACCTAGATTTTGATCTTTAAGGGCTAGAGTATAGTATCATGTCCGAAAGATCAGTCAATTCAAGTTCTGGCTAGCGTTTTCATACTCAATGTATGCGGTACCCCGAATTTCACCCTGGGTACCTAGAACTATATATATATATATATGGTGCCTTCTACGGTACCCCGGGTGAAATCCGGGGTACCGCATACCTTGAGTATGAAAACGCTATTTAGACCTCGAATGAGTAGGATTTTTGGGCATGATACTATACCCTAATCCTTAATGAGGGAATCTTAGGTCCTAATTATCTAAATCATAAACTATAAACCCTAAGATGTTGCATTGATTTTTTTGCCTATATTTGGACGAATCATAACCGTCGATTATAGTTTCTAATTAAATTGATCTTGGGGTATAAGATTTAGAGAATTAAGATCTAGATTTTGATCTTTAAGGGTTAAAGTATAGTATCATGTCCGAAAGACCAGCCAATTCAAGTCCTGGATAGCGTTTTCTTACTCAAGGTATGCAGTACCCGGGATTTCATCCTGGGTACCGTAGAACTCCCCATATATATATATATATATATATATATATATATATATATATATATAACTTTGAGTTTAGAAACTATAAATAAACCTCATGAAATTAAAGTTTAACCTCTTATTTCTTAATTATTAACTATATTCTTGTAAGCATAAACAAATGTCTAGTGTCCCGGGCCACCGATCATTGTCATAAACATATGAGATCTTACATAACATAAGAAATGAATCACCATCTCAAACTCAGAAAATTATATAATGTTCGATACTACAAAATATCGAGATGTATCTCAAATACCAGTATGAAATTATAAACAACGAACCATGAGAAGCAATCACCCAGCTTAATCTAACTAACATCATATCAAGAAATGAAGGAGGAAGCCTGGATCTATAAATAGGCCAAATATCAAGAATTGAAAAGTTGTACCGGAGATGGTATCGGAAAAGATAGTGATAGGGTATGTTATGTTGAATCGTGGTTTAGCCATAGTTCAATCATTTTATACTGTTAAATACCGTCTACTAATTTTACTTTCGATATAAGGTTTTTCTGGTCAAAATCATCGGTTGGTACGGTTTTTCAACCCATGTAAAATACACAAAAGTGTACTAATCACTTTATATTACCAGACCATATATAAATAGGCGATTCTCAGTGTTTGTACTAAATTAATCATGATTTTCATAACATAATTATTAAATTAATCATGTAAATCATCTCATGTAATATATCATGATTTTCTAGTATATCATGAAATGTGGTGTGCTTGACTAATAAAATTATAAATCAAACCGAATTAGTTTATAGTTTAAAAATCATAAATTATATCAATATTTTGATATTTTGTACACTCTAAATCAAGAACAAATTGTGCAAACTTCATAACATATAATGTAAATGAGAAAATGGTAATAACAATGAATTGTAAAATCGTACCGAATTTTGTATCAAAATAGTTATTGATATGTTATTTTGTACTTAAATAGTAGTCTAATTGTGGTTCAACCATTTTATACCCGATAAAAACCGTTTACCAAATTAAGGTTCGGTAAACGAAATTTCTGATCTAACCACCATGTAAAAAGATTTTGTAAAGAATGGTAAAAACTAAAAATTATACATGAGATACTCCTATTCTCAAATTGTGACATAAACCCATGTGAAGGAATAAAGGAGAAAAGGGGGAACTGCTAACGTGCAAATTAATTAAAGAAAATCAAATAAATAAAAATCGAAGCAAGTTTTGTGGGATGGCTCCGTTTATTATTCCTCCCACGGAAAAAACCCAAAAGCCCACGATTGGCAACACATTAAAACACACAATTACTGCTTCGCCCTTCCCGCAACTCAAGGAGAAGCCAGAAAATTTGGAAAGGAGAAAAATATATGAAAGTGTGCTATATATTATTGGAGGATATCCGCTGCTGCTGACAGCTGTGTTGGGTAACGTGGGGAAACTGTGTGTTTGGGCCTTGGTTGTGGGCCTGAAACTCAGATTTTCTTTGTATTCTCTTGTGGTTCTATCTTCCATTTGAATTTGATCCAATTTTGGTCTCTTTTTTCTTGTGACATTAGGGCCGGAAGTTTGGTACCGGTATTAGGGATATACCGAATTTGTCTATATTTGGTATCACCGAATACACGTATTATTTTTTGGGATTGGGATTGGGACTGAATTTCAATTGTAACTCGGTATTAGGGATTACGGGATTGGAATCGGTATATACTGAAATACCAAATAAATACCGAAATATAAGCTAGTACGTATTTTATCCTCTCAACTAGTCTCTCTCATTCACTACTATATGAACCTCAACCACCAAGAGTGTTATTTAATTATACATAGATCATTTCATCTTTGTTTCACAATTCAAAAGTCATCATCCAACTCAATTTTGACTTTCCAATTTAAGTCACTCTCATCTCCCACCTAATAATTTGTTATTTTCACAACACCAAAAAGCAAACACTAGTATTAGTCATCTCTTCGCCTTCAATTCGTCAAATTAAAGATTACCAATGACAAGAAATTGAGATATCACCTCTCCTTCATTCTCCTTATCCATATCCTAGCTCTAGGCAAACTCAAGACTCTTTGCTTAGTCCTTTGTCCTAAATTAAACAATCAAATCTAATTTATATATTTAATTATTTATTTCAAATGTAATTTATTTTGAATTCGATAATACCGATTGGGATACCGAAATACTGATTGGGATACCGGAATATTTAGGGATTGGGATTAGGATACCGAAATTATTTAGGGATTGTGATTGGGATTTGACTTTCGGGTATAATTCGGTATTCGAGATTTCGAGATTTGATATTGGGATACCGATACCGTACCGATTTCCACCAAGGTTGTCAAACCGGGGTCGAACCGGCCGATCGAACCGGATCTGGCCGGAACCGGGCATTAAAAGGGCTAGTGCCAGCCATAATTTGAAATTGTCGGTAGCCGGTCAAGACCGGTTAAAATCGGTCAAAACCGGGGTCTGACCGGACTTATCCGGCTACCGGCCATGAGGAAGTGACGTCGTTTGGCCTGTTCTGGAGCTTCTTCTGAAATCTGAATTGAATCTTGAACCCTAGGCCTAGCAAAACTATCGCATGATCTCATCCCTTCCTTTTCTTCTTCTGCCGAGCAGCAGCCAGCAGAGCCTTCGTCCGCGGCCACAACCAGCGCAGTCGCCGCCGCTCCCTCGTTTCGACCCAACTCCCTGCCCCACGTCTCACCGCCGCTCATTCGCCCCCTCGTCTCAAACCAGGTCCCCAACTCGTCGCCGTCGCTCCCCGCCCGACGCATCGACCCAACTCCCCGCCGCCTTGACAGCAGTCCCCGCCCCTGCCTCAATACTAGCTTAGATCGTTTCAGGTAGGTGCTTAATTAGGTTTCTATTGTGTAGTTTCAGAATTGGAAAAGCACATCTTGGTTCTGTTTCCATTTCCAGTTTCCACAATGGAATCGAGCATTGGTTGTTGTTAGATAGAGAGAGTGGGGGAGAAAGAAAGAAAGAGCATTGACGTTTGTTTGTTAATTAGGAGTTAGTAAGGAATGCAGCAGGTTAATTTGGTTGATGGAATTGATGATACTTTGTTATTTTGTTAATTATTTACTTGTTTTACAGGTTGATAGATAAAATCGAGTAATGTATAGTCAGCCGGCTTAATCCGGTTGAACCCCGATTCGACCATTAAACCTCAAATCCCTTGTTAAACCGGTTAGAGGACTTAATCCGGTTTAACAACCTTGATTTCCACCCTAGCCATGAATAGGATCGAGGAACATAGATCCCCTGCTAATCCTGATTTTATGACAACCGTAAGATGTCATGTGAAATCAACGGCGGGGGAGAATTTAGTCCCTTGTCGCCGGAAAACCTGAAATTTCCCCGGTCCCTCGTCTCTCGAGTGAAAAAATCACCACTGCTCATCACTGGACGACGACTATCTCCACCTCTCCTTCCCTCGCCGGCCAGACAAGCTTGCAAGCAAACATGGGCGTGATTCAAGATGGCAGAGTGGCGGGAACACTGCCCAGCAATGAGGTCTTTGCTGTTCACTACCCTGGCTATCCTTCTTCAACTTCTCGCGCCATCCAAACTCTGGGTGGAACTAAAGCAATTGTGGAGGTAAACAAGCCTCTCCACCCTCTCTGAAAATTCCAATTGCTTCAACTTGTCTCTTTTGTCTGAATGATTTGTGCACAGGCTCGAACTTCTAAATCGAACAATTTGGAGCTCTATTTTCGTCCCGAGGATCCCAACTCCCGTCCTATTTCAGGAGAGCTTGGTCCTTGTAGTGGCTTGCTGCTAAAAATTTCCAAAACCCAATCACTCTCCCAGAATGCAAAATGTTCAACTAGTGCTGACAATGGTCGGAATGAAGTGGCAGATGAAGTGAAAGTTAACGCTGAGATTGTTGCTCGGGTCACCGAAGCTTATCGCTTTGAAGGTTGGTTAGAATTTGCTAGAAATAAGATAAAGATTGCAAATTTGGGAAAACCATGATATCAGTTTGTGTAGCTGTTTTAAAACCCTTTGACCTCTTTAATTCCTGTAAGGAATGGCGGACTATCAACATGTAGTGGCTGGGCATGCTGACAGAGTACGCACGACAAAAAGGAGCTGGACTGAAATGGATCAAACACATTTTGGTAACCAGTGCTTCTAATAACTGGAAAATTTATGCTCTCTCCTTTGGTTAGACTGGATATTGCTTTTTCCTTCCATTATACTATTGGGAGGTATCATTGGATTGTGGTGTATTGTTTTGTCTAGACAGGGTTGGTCTCGTGGATTTAGATCAGGAGGATGTAATGATTTTGCCCCCGCCATTTTTTTCAGCCAAAGATACTCCTAGTAATGTCGTGTAAGCCTCACAATTCCTTGTCCTTTTCTTGTACAGTATCTTGTTAAACAGCTAGTGTAACGAGGTTGTTTAAGTGTAAATTGCATGTTCTGTCTTGGAGAATACACTGGGTTTGCAACGGTCTTTGGCAAAAAGAAGTTGATTGAGTTACTCCCTTGCTTGTCTTTTAACTTTTGAGGTTCTCATTCTTTTTCGCTTTCTTATGATTTCTGTAATAAGGGTGGTTTGATCAGATGGACCATAAGGGCTAGGTTTGGGGGATCTCTAATTGATACCTGTGTTTGATATTTCTGCAATTTCTCATTGTTTGTCTCAGTTTTGGTTGTTTCCGCATTTCTCAGTTTGAAACCATCAACCATGACAAGTTCAAAGAAGAAACAGGAGGAAGCAGTTGAAAACTATGTAGAGGTAAACAAGTAATTCTAGCTTTCTAAAGTACATGATTCATGCAGCAAAAGCGTATCTTAGTTTAGAGTTTTTTTCAACAATTGATTCTACTGGGTGAAAGAATAGGTAACTTGTCTTTATCGAACCTTCACTCAGGACCTTCCGTGACGTTTGTGAGAAGATTGAATAGGTTGGTTATTTTGTGAAGCTAATAGCTATCTTTCTCTTCTTATGCAGATGAATCTGGAGCCTGCCCTCGCTATTGATTTTAACATAAAAGATATCCTGATTGTTTCCGTGCTTCTAAATCTTTTTTATTTTGCTTTCTTTAAGTTATATGCTTTTTGGTTGATGATACTTGATGACTCACTTTGGTAAGGCCAACTACCTTGGTCTAAACACTAAAGTTGTGGACAAATCCCTCTTCATGTATGAGATATACATATCTACTCTTAGGTTCACACAGCGTGTTGCTGCATTGTGTTTTTCCTGTCCAAAGTTTCTTTATTAGTAAAATTCAGAGATTGTGTCACAATCACTAAAAGTTTCTAAGCTCCAGTTTCCTTCAAAATGTACTAGAATCTCTGGTTAAAAGCAAGGCAATGTGAGCTATTCACATATCATGACTTGAAATGGTGACTACCTGGCTAGATCACTGCAAAACTTAGTCTTCAAAGGTTGAATAACCTTCTAATTGAGAATAGACTATTTACTCTTGTACATCTGTTATTATCTTGGACTGTTCTGTTTGTTATTACTTCTATTTTTCTGTTCATATTAGTACTGTTTCATTCTTCTAGTCTAAAACTTTCACTTGGGTTTGTGTGCGTTATCATCTATATGCAGAATCATCTATATGCAGATATTCATTAGTGTGGTAAGCCTGATGTTATTATCGGACTTGGTTCTTTAGTTGTGAAGTCCTATGTTTGACAAATCTCAACATCTATTATTTACAATCTTGTGATTGTCTCTTCCAGTTCTACTTAACAAGCCTTACAGATACCCAAGAAAATAAATTGGGAAGAATATGTAGCTCATAACTCGAGGATGCAGGAGGCACTGCTGGCTTTATCTGAGTTGTTTGAGGAGCGACCGATATGGCATAAAGAGTCTCTCGTGCAGCGGTTACTTGAGAAGGATCTACATTTTAATCACCAATCACTCAAAAGGTATTCTACAGGACAAAATCCATCCTACTTAATTAGCTGCATTTGTTGTGTGCTTGAAGCCTCTACTTTTACCAATGTCTCGCAGTTGGTAAGTTCAGTACTACAAGGAAAAGCTTGTGTTAATTAATCTTCATTTTGATCTTGCAGACTTCTAATAATGGTGGCATACTACTTTTTAGGTGGACCATTCCGCATGTTTTGGATCCGAAAAGGATATGATCCTCGTCAAGATTCTGCATCTTGCATGTAAGAGCTATGCACCTGCTTTGGCGATCTTTATTTATCTTCTCTCTTTGTGTTTTTGCTCTTGAAGTCTCAGTGGTGAATTTTAAAAAAGAACATGGGCATGAATGCCCTTAACAATTGCAGGGTGTCTTCTTTTGATTGATAGTGCAAGAAGTTCAGAGTTTGCCATTTCATACTTTCTGTATGTTCTAACTTGTGGACTTAACAGTATAGTATGGTTATGTTGACCTGATCATACATGCTGAAATTATTTGTTGGTCCTAGTTTATCATGTGTATCAAGGGAAATACAGCCCAAGCAAATTTTTTAGTAATCTTCGTCAGATAATATTTTCACTACTCAAGATCCAAGAATAAATTTTCATAGGCTTCATTTGCTTTTGTTTGTCATTGATGGCCAAAAGAAAAGCTCCCCATCTGGTTGAATGCAGAAGGCGTTTCTTATCTATTGTTCGTATAAGCTGGAAGCTGATTTCCGATGCCTTTTGTTTTTGTGGCAGCTATCAAAGAGTTGATTTTCGAGTCCCACCTGCACTTAGACGTTATTGTGAAATTTATGCTGCTAAAGGGTAATTTCTTTACCTTCACACCTTTCCTATCGAGTACAGTACCAATTTGCTGGTATATACAGCTAGATATTTGTCAAGATTATGCTTTAAAAATAGATAACTGTTCTTAAGTTTTACTAAAAGTGAAGAAAATGCATTTGGTATGGTGTGAGAAAAGGTAGTGTTGAGGAGATGTAAGATATTTTTTTAGTAATAAAGAAGTTATAAATGAGACTTTAGATCGCTTTTTTGGAAATGACTTAATTAAGTACATCCTGAATAATACATTCTTAGCGCAAAGGGAAAACATACCTCTTGGCTAGAACTAATTAACAATTTTGGGGTAGTAGCTGATCTCAGTTGCTGAAGAGTTCTCTAAATTTTTCTTAGCAGTTGGACGGTGGTCTTCCCTAGTCTATTATGCTAGAGCACAGGATGTTGTGAGCCTGGGGACTTTATATTAGGTTCTTTGAAGCCTCAACTTGGTGCTCTTACTGGTCTTGCTTACATGTTATTTTGCGTGCAGTTTAAAACAGAGATGGAAGGATTTATGCAAGTTTGAAGCTTTTCCTTACAAATGCCACACATCGCTCCAACTCTTTGAACTTGTTGATGATTACATTCAAGAAGAGATAAAGAAACCACCCAAGCAGACGACTTGCACTGTGAGTCTGTTGTGAACTTCTGTGTGTGTATGTGTATGTAATCTACTTATTACAGCATACTATCATGCACTTGGCCTACAAAACAAGTTTTAGTTTTGCAGCATTTTCCAATGGCATCAGCATTGTGTAGAGGTTGCCAGTCATTTTTAGAACTTAGCCAGTATAGATGATACGAACTGACTCGTTCAGACTAAAACTCAACTTGTGAACCTTACACGATACTCTCGCCAAATGACACAACCTTCCTAATTTTAGTTTTAGTTCCCGATATATCCTTTTCCCCTTTATTCTATGATGTATATGACTGCCTTTGTTTTCATTATGTTTATGGCTTCGTAGTTTGTTGTTGTGCATTTGGGTATTTTAGAACTCACCATCTTCACTTAACCAGTATGGATCAGGGTGGTTCTCTCAGCAGGAGCATGATACTCTAAAATTTCGTGTGATGGTAAGATTCCTGTCAGTATATCCACAACCTGGTGCACAAAAATTACACAAGGCTGCTTCAGAATATTTTGAAAAGTCGAAGAAGATGTGTGCCTTAAAACAATGTCAAAAGGAAGACCAGCAGACTCACGCAGGTACAGATAAAAAACTGCTGCTACTGTCTTCTATTTGGTTCTCAATTCTCAAATTGCCTTCCGTTTAACTACATTTATCATAGCTTATCCGTCATGTATTGCTAAAAGGATTTCCCTTTGAAATAATATCCAACATCTACCCTACAATAATCTGAAGGATTCATGACATGGCTTTATAGATGATAATTTGGACGAAAATCAACACGAGATGGAGGATGTTGCTACTGATAATCTTGTTGCTGATGATGATGAAGAAGAGGAGATCGATGCATACGACGCTTTGGATTTGGTAAACCAAAATTGTTCGATGTATATTTTGTTAGCTATTATTTTTCCTAATGATATGATAATATTTGAATTTGTTTCTTACTCTATTCATAGGCTGAGGAAGATGACGAATTCTCGCTGCATTCAGATTCATGTATCCTTTTTTACCATGACTCTGATGTTCTACTATCGAACATATCGAATGAGCAGTGCTGATATGACTAGTTACATTTCGCCCACCTCCTTTGGAGATCTACCTGGGCTACTAAATAATTTTCTGTTCTCTGAGTTATGTTGTTTCTCTGATCTTTCGCTTCTATGGTGTTTTCCTATACTTTGTCCTAGATTTGGGTACTGGGAGCAACTCAAGAAACTATCTGCAAGACCTCTTTGATAGCTTTCCGGCAACTGAAGTTGAAGGTGGGAAAATACATGACGATGCTGACAGCAGTGATGGTGAATATCAAATACTCGAGCAAGATGACGACAATTACTCTGACGACGATTATGAATGACGGCATTTTTGCTGAATGAACTCATTCAGTCTCATAGTGGTAGGTAGTTGATGAATGCCAGGACATAGTGGTTGCCGTAGTTAGTTTCTAAGTGCATGGGAGGCTGATTGGATAAATGAGGCTATGAAGTGGCCATTGCCAAACCTATTTGTTTTAATATACTAGAATCAATACCCGCGGCTACGCCGCGAGAACTAAAGTTGCAACAACTTTATCATATTGAGTTCCATATTCAACCAGCACGATGGTTCTTTTAGTGTTCATGTCTGGCAAGCTAAGTAAGGGCAGAGAATAGGATAAACGGGAAAGAAGCACATATCAATTTGTAATTTGTATGCAAGCAAATTTGGATAGTGAAAAGTGCTCTTTCCAGCGATGAAACTCATTATTCAGACAAAATCAATATGGTTTTCTCAAAAACTTAAAACATTCCTGCTACGCAAGAAAGTACAGCAAACTGTTGCCAGAGGCTCAGATCGAGTCATGGTTGATAAAAACCAAACACAGTACTGCATCATCTTATATTTTGAAGTAGGCTATATACATGGATATAATTGGCCATAATCTCGGACACCAGTCGCCCAATAAGTCATCTTTTTGCTAACAAACCCACTATCTTTTGGCTTGTTTGCAAGTCTTTCATGTGTTGATCTTTACTTCTGGGGCTGTATAGCTTAGAAATTACAGCAGTCCCTGCTGCCCCTGCTCCCCATGCTGCCATAGCCTCAATCTCAGAGCTACCAGGCACTCTTCTCATGTCATTCTGTCTACTTGCTGCCATTAGCCACCTTGCAATGGACCTATAAATCAGGTAGGACCAATCAGTCTTTATAGAAGGCAATTTAATTTCAAACATAAACATGAGGAAGTGATTACTAAATAGCTCTTAAATGCGGACACTAAGTCCTATTGACCTTGATGTAGTCCAGAAACAGTTGCAGCAAAGAATCGTTTGTTCTGTGAAAGGCTAACGGTATGGTCATCAAGATAAGCACAAACTTACCATCTAAAAGAAATGGCATTCTTATGCTTCAGCCATTGAATGACTTCCATTGGGGAGGCTCTGTGATAGATACACTGTGTTTGAAAAACAGAATGCACTTAATCCAACAGAAAAGAAGAACCACCTTGCACTTTAAAAAGTTCAACCAACATTGTGAAAAGGCAAAGGAAACACCAACATGGAAAAAACACTCCATCGAAAGCAAAGCATACCTTTAAAGCAAGCTTCTTCAACTTATTCGTATCTCTAACCTTCTTCATCCTAACCAAACGCACTGCCAATTGGCTTATCAGAAGCAACCTAATAAGCAAAACTGAACAACTTTCAAGATGACAAAGAGAAATAACAGACTGAGGGTCTCAATTGGAACGACACTGGAACGAAATAATCAAAACCGAACAGGAGTGGTGATGGTTTTAGAGGAAATTTCAAAAATTAAAAGCAAACAACAATCGATTAACCCACCACAGCATATGGAAATCTTAACTAATGGTTGGACCTGAATTTGCCGGTCCTCAACGCTCTTTTCTTCATAGTTAGCTTGGTCCAAACCTACAAAATGAAGCCTTTGAGTTGAGAGAACCAATCAACAAACTAAACCAAATCTGTAAGGATTAAACTGTCCTCAAGAACTGGTTTTTTTAGTCATAGCAAAATCCAAAAAACCACCCTCTTACCAAACACCAAAAACCCATAAATTAAAGTATAAACGATTCCTTTTAGAAAACAGAGGAGCCGTGAGGGAGATGGAAATTGAATATGGTACCCACTATTTCATAGCAGTACAGGCATCAAACTCATTGAGAGGAGGGCGTCTCGAATCGCTTAAAAGACTTGCCTACTTCAACACCATAGTTTACTTGCTCACCTCCTTCCTTCCGTTGCAAACTTGTTGATCCCCGTTTACATCCATTCACTGCCAACTGTTTGATCCCTGCAAAGGAAGAAATCCTACATTTACCATCTAAAACCAGAGAGTAGGAGGGAAAGAACTCTACTGGCAAAATGATCTGAAAATATCGATCAAGATGCCGAGGGCATGGATCTTTCACAGCTGTAATTGTTTTTAACCAAAATATATACAACAATAAATCTTAGTAATAATGTTGTCGTAAGTTTGTTTTCTGTTTTGCTCCTGCTGCTGTGAGTGTTTGCTAGCAGCAGTGCCTCTGCAATTTGGCTTTTGCCTCCTCATTAATAAAAAAAAATGTATTTGAGTTGTATGAAGCAGCTACACATGATAAAACAGTTGGAATTGGGAATAGAAACTGTAGCAGTTGAGTAAGTGGAATTTAGCATTCGCTTTCCAGAAACTATTAACCACGGCATGGAAAACAAAGAAAGTAGGAGACAACAATAACTTGCCTATAAGTTAGGAAGTTAAACCAGTTACCATAAGCAATAAAGAACTCGACTGACATAGTAAACACAGATTCAGTGAACTCACCCGCAGGCGTTCTTCGGAGGTCAAATCCTTGCACATAAGAAACTTCCCTGAGCGCAGATTTTCACTCACCAATTTGCGACGCGCATTTCACCCAACTGTAATCGTCCCCGTGACGGCAAGGATTTCCAGTTATCCATGTGTGTAGGAGACCCAATTTGAGGGCTGTGGCGGTGACGGGAAGAAAGAGAAGCAAAAGAATAGAATGAGAGGTGGAACCGAAGAGGACAATTTGGGCGAGAAGAAAGCAATTTTCTCCGCACAGAGCGAAGGAAAGCAAGCGGCGCAGAAATTATGGGCGGTAGCGTGAGCGAGGCTGTGAGCAGGGTTAAGGGAGTGGGGAAATTGGGGATAGCAGAATGGAATGGTGAAGAGATAGACATGACCGAGCACTGACCAGTGAATGCTTGATTTCGGGAGGTAATTGACAGCAAGAAAGGTAACGCCACTGTAGCGCTGACTGTGTAGTATGGTCGGTGACTTGCGTTTGCTGGACTGAGGATAACGCAGAGGGGAAGGGCAAGAGGGATATGGGGTGAAAAAGTGCTTTCGAGGAGCTTCTCCACTGCTTTGGCGCTAGTCGCCAAGAATTGAAACAGTGTATAGGGTCTTTGGGGTGAAAAAGCGTACCCCGCTTTCATGGTTTACAAGAATTCACCTCAATTTTGTTGAACGATTGTGATGTTATTAAGTTTAAAGTTCCAGATAGTAACTATAGATTGCATTTTACCTACTATCCTTTGGACTTCATTGGATGTACAATTCTATATCGATCTCAATCTGAATTGATTTTACTTCTAATAAGCATCTTAATCCATTCCTAATGTTCCAAATTAACCCTTTTATCTCAATCCATTTGATCAGGTTTACTATAGTTTTTACATCCTGTTGACATTTCCTTGTGCCACAAGTTCTTTATTCCGAGATAATGGTCACCTGAACTATTGATTCCTGTGATTATCTTCCATGTTTTTGATCCTTCCTTGCCTAATCTAGTTCCTTAGAAATTGTCGTTAGACTGGGTGGTACTGCTATACCACTGTAGTTAGTTGCGACTTACGGGTTTTCGATAGTTAGACACCTTATAGTAAGAAAATTACAAATATAAAATTATTCATTTTGAACAACATTGAGCAATTACTCAAGTCTGCCAACGGGTGAAGGATGGAGTCCAACTTACTTAATAGTTATTACCCTGATCAATAAATGTTATTAATATTATTATTACTCAAAGTCATACTGTCAATTTGTCAGTCAATAAACCTGACAAGTTACATTCCTTGATTCAATTTACTGCCAAAATCCAAAACTTCGGCTAACTTGAATAGTACAGATGGTAAAAGAATAAAGGGAAGACTGTACACAGAAAAGAGGAGGAAGAAGCTAAGAGCATTTATTTGTGTACTTTCATTTGCTGTCTATATCTATAAACACAAGCGAAAAAAAGAACTGTGTGGCCTTTCCTTCCAATCTACAGATAAACCACGCGATCTTGTTTGGTCCCGGGAGCGACGAGTTAGAATGGTGAGCTCACTTCTCGCTTAATCAACTGGAACCTCAACCTCCATTTTTAAGCCTGAATTCCCAAATACCTGCACCAGTAATATGTTAAGTAAAGTAGTCACCAGTTCAAGTAGGAACCACATAGTGCAGATTCATGCAATGGCAAGTTTCGAGCTTTACGAAGACAAGAAACCTTTGTTCCTGTCAAGATATACAAGTGGGTAAGAAATATACTAACTAAGGTAACACACCTTAATGAAGTCATCTAGCAAGAGGTAACATTCCTTTGTGTAACCTGCCTCTTTTAGAACTTGAGTCAGGACTTGCTGCAAAAAAAAAAAAAAAAAAAAAAAAACACCAGAAGGTGGAAAGAAGCCTGCTCAATAGCTGTGGAAATGCTTAAAGAAATAGGCAGACTATACAATCAAGCTAATCCCTGCTAGCTACGTTATCAAGGTTCCAGAGTAAATCATGAACGACTACAATCATCAAACTATACGCTAATATAAGATATTGCTAAAAGTTCCTGCGAGTTCAAAGTAGCATGTGAGGATGAAATGATACAGGAAGGAACGTAGCCGTACCTCTCTTTGCTCATCTGATATGAATGAACCAGATAAATCACGAAGCACGTTTAGTATGTCGTTGAAAGAGACTTTTCCATTTCCATCCGAGTCATATACTTTGAAAATCACTGAGGCAATAGAGATTGCACAATTCATCAAAAGTGAGAATGGTAGAATAAATGTATGTTATTGGATGTTTCCAGCCTAAACTGTTACGTTATAGGATTGATTTTAGCAGAACAAACAAATTACCCAAAACTTTTGACATATAAATTACTGTCCAAGGAATCAAATACGTACAAGCTATTTTCTGTTCTGTAGTTGCTTTCGAATTAAATGCGGATAAGAAAGCTACGAAGTCCTTAAAATTCAAGCCGTCCACCATTTTGAGCAGGCGCTACATGAATGAAATCCCCATGTATAGTTACGGTAGCACTAGAAAGCTGCAGAAACTGAAGACATATGACAAGTATTCAGGGAAAACTCATGGATGGAGAGATTACCTGAGAAAGTGGATTCATGGCAAACTCAGGCACCGATAAGAATTCATCCGCCGAGATAAATCCTTTCGCATTGCGATCCAGTTGGCAGAATCTTTGATACAATGACACTATTTCTTGTTGGGAGACTGAAGTTGGCAGTTGAAAGTAGATGTCAGATTGAACATAACAGGGGAAAACAAAAACAAGCCTAACTGGTGCAGAATTGTTGGACAGGACGAAGAAAAGCAGCCAACTTACAGAGGTTGTGACAATGCTCCTGAACTTCTTCTATATCATATTGAGTTAGCATAGACGAGGCGCTCCCCATTTTTCGGATATCTGGTTAACGAAGAAGCTCACTAACTCGAGCACCCACAAATTACCTGTAATCAGTATTTCCAAGAATGATTAACAAGTGATTGACAATGGACAATCAGAGACTTCTCCTAAAGCAGAACAAATGAACAGTAGCAGTAATCAGAAGTTCAATTTCAAGATTTTGACGATTTCCCAACACAAATCAAAACCAACCCAGTCTACAGTGTTTCCCAAAATCCGGAGCTGAAAACAAAGATAGAATACCCAGAAATTTTCCCTGGAACCAAACAGAAGATAGAGAGAGTGGCAGTGAGAGACCTGAGGCTGGGGACGAGGCAGGGAGAGGAATAAGGTGGGGCGGGATTTATCATGGTTAACGTAAGGCACGAGGAAAGGCGCAGTAGTTACCTCGCCATTATCGACGGTAGAATTGGCGCAGCTGCGAGGGAGACGATATTAGTTTGTCCTACTGATCCGATTACGCCGATATTAGTGGTCAGGTTCTTGCTCCGAATTTGGCACCACCTGCTTCCCTCCCACAACACACCAAAACTATATATTTCAGTCTTAAGAATGGAACATGCTAGAGATAAAGTGCCTTCTTCGTTTGCAACCTTCGGAGTATTGATTAAGTTTGTTGTTCCATCAAGAAATTAAAATTAATAAGATTAAATTCTTGTAAAATTTCAAAAAAATTTTCGACAAGATATTGTTCGCTTTGGATCCAGATCCTCATTGGCCTTGGAGTACATACCAAAGTGACTTCTCATAAGGTCACCATCCTTGCAGTGCTCCACAATGAGCACGTTGAGGTTTGCCTCACCATCGTTCAAGAGGGATGCGGAGAGGTTCTGATACCACTTGTCACGACAAGATATTGTCTGCTTTGTGCCCGGACCCTCACATATTTTGCCTTGCGGTGGATATAAAAGTGACTTCCAGTAAGGTCATCCATCCTCGCAGTGCTCCACACTCAGCATATTTAACTTCGAAGTTCTCACAAGAACTCCTCAATTTCACCTCAGAATGCGTATTGTGAGCTAACGTTTGTTTCTTACTTATGAACTATGGATCCCTCCCATACTTTGTCGATGTGGGATTCGCCCAACGTGTTACATTTGTTGTATTAAGAAAATGTGTGTTTGTCATGTAACAATAAGATAGGATGTTCAATCAATGCGACTAAGAGACTGGCAAATGGCAGCGATTGCTTCAGAGCTTGGGGATAGGTTAAGGAGGATACAATGATTTCATAGGATTTTGTCATGAGGCCTACCTCATATAGGATTGAACAAACATGTATTCATTTTACAGAATCATGTGAAACCAAATGCTATATTAAGGGTCAATATTAAAAAGATTATGAATATCCTTATCGTATCAAACTTTATCCAGATGATGATCCGCCATTTGAAATTGAGGTGGAGTTCTGTAACTTGCCTTTAGTATGTAGTCATAGTCAAGGTTTTGAGCATGATTGTGATAGGTTGGCTAGGAGCAATAAAAGATGGGTGCGGAAAGATAAAGTAGAGGAAGTAGGTAGTAGAGGATGTGGTGTAGGTTGAGTTGGTGTTGTAGTTGTGGCGGAGCAAAGGCCTGATATGGAGAATGAAGTAAGGGGGTAGTGCAAGATGAATCTGTGGAGTCTATAAAGGATTATAAAGTTGTTATTCTTACATCAATTGGGAGCTCCATTGTAGTTTTGCAAAGGTGTTAAAACGATAATCAGTCCATAACTGAAAGTCCTCAAGTGTTAATGCAGGAGGCTGTTGGAGATATGTTATCAGACAAGCTTGAGAGCTTATCTTCTCAGCCTGCTTCGGTAGGAGTAAAATTTTTGATGATATTCGTGGTCATCAGGTTACTCATAGTCTGTGGCTCATTTTGGGAGACTTCAATGTCATCATGGATCCAAGGGAAGCTTCTAACTCGCCAGACTAGTATGGTTGAGTTTAAAAAATGGATACTTGAAGTAGAGGAACATATTGCCGAAGGGCTGTGAATTACTTGGTTAAAAAACATAGTGGTACTCCAACTGCTTGAAGGTCTGATAGGGCGTTCATCAATTTGAGTTGGCTAAATAAGATGCCTAGAAATGAGGTAAGGTTGTTGAAGCCCATGGTGTCTGATCATTGTGCGATTTTTTTTTTAACATTGATATTGCTATGAAGTGACTTCCTAAACCATTAATTGAAGCCTTTCCAGATTTTGGACTCATAATCCTGAATTTCTAAACTTAGTTTGAAGGGCCAAGGAGCACGAGGTAGTTGGTTCTCCATTAGTGAGGGTGTGTAAGGAATTGAGATTTCTGAAGCAACTACTTCGCAAGTTGAGTAGAGAAGTGTCTACTGATATTAGAGGTCAAGTGAGAATGAAGGAGGCTATAGTTTCTATAGCACAGAAGGCTGCTTTACAGAGTCCAAGTGCAATAAGTTTTGAAGAGGAAACTAGGATGAGTAAGGAGCTGTAGAAACTAAAAAAATGTGAGGAATCATTTATAGTTGAAAAGTGGGAAATCAAACTCGACTTTCTTTCATAGATCGATAAAAACAAGGATAAAGAAAAAGACACTAAGAAGTCTGATTAATGAGAATGGTAGGAGAAGTACAAATGTCGAGGATACGAGAATGATTGCAGTAGCTTTTACAAAAAAAATTTGGGGGCAAGTTGATCCTTGTATTTGTTCTTAGGACGAAAATTATTATGAGAAAATTTTGAGAAGAAGATTAACTACTGAGCAGGTTGAACATCTGTATGACCCTAATACAGGGGAGGAAGTAAGAGATGTGATGTTTGGTTTAGCTGGTGACAAAAGCCTGAGGCCTTGGGGTTCCCTGCTTGCTTCTTTTAGCTCACATGAGATATATTTGAGAAGGAGATCACATATAAGCTATTCAAGGGTCCAAAGAGGAACCAATCTTGAGGGCAAGGTCAGTCTCAATGAGGGCGGATTGTTAGAAACATAGTTGCTAGTTCATTTACTGGTTTGGACTTATTTTTCATTTTATGATTATTTGGATATTCGGTTATTATTTTGGGGGTATTTTCTTAGGAGGTATTATTTTGGGTAGTTATAGGGCATTTGTCGACTTATATAAATTTTATTTCATATATCACTTATTTGAGAGATTTTTCTCTCAATAAACAAAGTAAAATGAAACAAGTTATAGTCAAATCAACAGCTTTGGCTCGAAGACGATGACCCGCTTCTTCGTGGGAGAAAAGAATACATGCGGTGCCGTAAGTGATCTGGAGAGCAAATATGAAAAGGATACACCGCGAGTTCATGAATGGGGAGTTGGGAACTGTAAAATAGAGCATCAAATCATGGGCTTAAGACTAAATCTAAAGAATATAAGATGGTGGAGTTTTGCAGGATTTTCACCATTTGAAATTTCCTTGCTTCTCCTTAATTATAGGTAGGGTATAAAAGTAATTATATCTTCATTTTTTTTTAAGTTTTATCTCCTTACTTTTGTTACTGCACGCAAAAAATGGGGAGAGAGAAGAGATTAGGGGGAATGAAATAATATAAGAGGTGTTTAACATTTTCAAAAAACGTTTTACATAACCGTTTGTATATTTTTTGAAATATTATTTGATTATAAAATCTAAATAAATATAAAACAAAAGGATCTATAATTAAAAAAAACCTGATATTTTCTTTGGAACAACACGTTCCTTCATTTTATTCTTTTGGAAATTCATTTAATTTTTATAAACAATCGGTAAATCTTTACTAATATGTTTATTATTATGTATTCTAATTAAACTGGTAGTTTGGTATTGTATTGGATTGCTTTGAGTTTTTTTTTTTTTTGAAATTTTTGTAAGCTACTTCTCATGGAAAAATCATTTCTTATGGTTTAGAAAAATTACATTTGTTTTCTTAATATCTTAGTTTTTTATTCCATTTTAATTTTAGCTATATTCTTAGTTAAGATCTCCTTCTTTTTGGAGTGGTTCATAATCTCGATTAAGCTATATTGTTTATAATTAGTATTGATTTTCAATAATTTTATACGAGTTCACAAAAATGGTAGCAAACACTGCTAATATATATCGTACTAAAAGAATTAAGAGTTTTATCTATTTAGCAATTTGTAGAATCAAGATATGGGGTACAAATGTACAATACATCCTTTCTATTTTAACATTGAGGATAGATAATTTAGTAATTGACTATTTTTGTATGATTACAACAATAAAAAGTTTATTTAATAATTAATGGATAATTCTAAAAGTTGGAAAAAGAAAGCACGTAAAAGTCAAAAATACGAAAGGGTATGGTGTTTTTCTATTTGGATTTTTGTGTTTATGAATTAGTGTAGACTAAACTAATGTTACAAATATGCAAAGAGGAATTATTTTTTTTTTTGAAAAACAAAATGAAAGAAAAGAGCACAAATTTGAGGTGCGTACTAATATTCTTTGCTATGTAAACTATATTCATGTATGCGTACAAAGCATATTCGTAATTTTTGGATTCAAGGAGATCAAATGGTATAGATTATAAGAAGCGAGGTATTTTTCTTTTTCCACAAAAGTGATAAGAATATCATGACATTAATCACATACAAAGAAATTTCAACGATGATATGAATATCGTGATAAACCTGCTCATACTGTGCTAGACTTTGGATAATTTTATAAATAAATTGAAAAACTATCAAATATCCTGAATAATTAAAATTGTTATAAAATTATACTCAAATAGTCCGGCCAACCGGCCGGGCATAAGCTAGTAAAAGGATAGGAGGTTAGTTAGATGGTTAATGATATAGAATTTGCCAATTTGGTACATCTACAGGAGTTCTCAAGTGTCGGCTTAGAAAACAAAGAATCGAAGGGGAAGAAGAAGATATAGACTCTTTTATTAACAACGAATTGATTGCATGGGGGTGGTAAATGATGCATTAATTTCTCTTTTCCTTTAAAAAATCAAAACTAAAAACAATATCGTAAACTTTGGTGGGTTTCTTTTCAACTTTTGAAGTCTATTCCTTTTTCGGGTCTAATCGGATTAATTAAAGCTATTATCCTACTAAATTTTTTTTTAATTTTTCTGTTGCATTGTTGTAATATTTTGACCAAAACATGTTAGTAAGTTAAATGATATATTAATTAAAATAATATAATATTCACGCTTTTTCGGCGCACTCATATTATAATTCTTGAAGAATATACACTCCCGTTCTAGCTCCCGCTCTAGCGAATTGGCAAGCTACATCCGTCGAGTAAATTCTGTAGACAAAGAGGCTACTGACAGAACTCGTCTTCCATCACTTATTGCATTCCCTTGCAAACACCCTCACGCTCAATTCTCACTTGGTATTTCCTCACTATTTCCACATATGACATATACCGCCGCCATAGGAGTGCGACCTTCATCCCGTGATGAATACATGTTATTTGATTGCTTTTTAGGAGCTTGAAGGAGGATAGCGGAAAATAGCAGATAGAGAAACAAATGTAGATAGTCCGGGCGAGGAAGCATATTATCCATATGTAGATGGGATTTTATATAATTTATAAATATATAAAAATATAATGTTTTCATATATATATCCGGGCAAGAGCGGACTAAAACGATTGGACCATTAACCCTCAGGCCTCAACCCACTTAATCTACCAGGCTAATGGGCTAAACCGGGTTGACAACCTTTGGTACTTTGAAATCAAGATATTCTAAAAAATTAGGTTCCAATTTTTATGATTAAGTCAAATCGATAAATAATTGTGGACTTTCAGAGAGTGGTTGAAATTCAAAAGTCGGTCTTCAAGGTCTTTTCGTGATAGATAAGTTTTTGCGTTTAATTATTGTTGGGTCGAAGGAAGAGAAAGCGAAATAGATTGAGGATGAGATTGTGGCTATTAATTATTGGAAGTTGCAGATGCAGAAGATAAGCAATAAAAAGGGGCTAAATTTAATTTGATAATACGTATATACTATATATTACGAGGGCATGTTTGATGTGAAAAATAATAGAGAAATATATTTGAGAAAAATAGATCATAGAGTGACAATTGACATAATTTGTATTAAATAATTATCGCTAATGTCATAATCAACAAATACCATAAAGATTACTTTGAAATAATGAATTAACTATTTTAAAAAATATCAAATTATTTTACAATATGAAGAAATTAATGAACATAAAATGAATAAAATTCATCCGACTAATGGGTCGGGTAAATATTTTAAATATAATTATAAATTAACCAAAAAGAGCTAGTTAGATTTATAAGTGGATTGCCAGCCTTGATACAATGTAGCGAATGGGAATCGTGTATTACATTGATGTAAACTAGATTATACATACCTGAATAATAATAGTGTACAAGTATGAATATGAGAGTAAATACAAAGAGGGAAAGGATTACAAGAATACAAATCCTACAATCGTGCCAAATAAATATCATTATGCGTGTTTTCCATTAAAAAACTCATTCATTCATCGTCAATTTGGGTTCAAGATATAGTGAGTAACCTTAGGGTGAGTAACAATGAGTAACCAAATCTGGACCCTTTTTTTAAGTGACTGCAGATTTAAGGGTGGAGAATTAAAGAAATTTATTTTCCCTAGTTGTCTTAATTGGATCA